GAAAATAAAGATGAAATTGAACGATCAATAACATTAAAAATTGAACAAGGATTGTGTATACTCGGATTAGAAGCAGTGACTTGTGAATGAAAATGGTGGGAGCATGTGACTTAGATTTATAAGTAGAGTTTTATTAATGTGAAAAAATAAATATTTAAACGAGGAATACATGTATTCCGTCTAGATCTCTTGCCAAGTTTCTTATAATAAACATTAGCAAATAATTATGTTTTTAAAAGGAAACGATTGTGGGACAGAAATATATGATGGATAGAGGACGATATAGACATGACGGGTCCGGACGGGACGAGACGGGACGGGTTGGGACGAGACAGGAAGGGACGGGTCGGGACAGGACAAGTTTCTCATTCCTAACTATACGTAAAATAATTCAAACTAAAGTCAAATCCAAATCCGATTTAACATCTCTAAGCAAACAGTTAGAAATGTTTTGATTAGTTTAAAAAATAAACACGTAATATCATTTAACATTTTCATTTAAATTATTTTAAAACTATATTAAGTAAACAATATCTATATTTTACAATTGTATGCATATGTATAATTTTTCAAATAAACTTATATAACAAACTTTTACCAAAATCGTATCTACATAAAAAAATCGTAGTTTTGCAAAAATAACCCCGCACGTACGTGCGGGTCCATCACTAGTACATTACTAACCTGTTTTTAGATAATCATTTTCCATTTTCTATATGTGATTTTGTCTTAGATTTTAATTAATTTTTTTTCTTAAAAAGTCGTTCAAATTCAAATTGCTCAAATCCCAAAATAAATTTTTGTTATTTCGATTGATTAGTGAGAAGAATAATATTGATGGGTTCCTTAAGCCATACCACCACCAGCACAGACCTTTTCTAACTTCATCCTCATGTCTAACGTGATCGAACTCTCCATCCTCAGGTATCTTTTCCATTGCTTAGCACATGAAACAACAGCTAAAATTTAAGCCATGCCATCATGATCTGATCCTTTCACATTCAAAAAACTTAACAACATTCTACAATTCTTCTGGTTACTTCATCATGATAATCTAATTTTCTTAGTATAGTATATATATTCAGTTTTATATCATAAAAGCTAATGATTGGTTATCAATCAAATCCATTGTTTGATTGATTTTAAAGTACACTTTGTTTGATTAGGTGAGTAGTTTGCACGCTTCGAAATCAATAATGGGCTTAACTTGGCCCATAACGATGTTTAACTGACCCAAGAACACAAAAGCCTTTTGTCCGTTATTGCGTCGGTCGACACGTGCGGGAAGTCAAGGTCGGCACGTGTGATCACCACTTCTCCTCTCTCATTGGTCGTAAACTCGTAACTAAGCCGATTCCTTTCTTTTTCTTTGGTTACTGCACACTCCTCTCCCCTCTCTCTCTCTCTTCACTCTCTCTCATAAATCACACACCCAAAAAAAATAAAAAAGTTGATATTTTTTTTTGTTTAAGTTAAGACTTTGCTTTACAGCTCAATTGCGTCTTCTTCCTCTGTCTTATTCTTTCTTCATCTTCCTCCTCGCGGATCCATTTTGAGGTTCGTGTAATTCCCATTTCCTTTTCATTCTCTTTCGCGTTTTCTTTAGGTGGTGGGGGAAGTGAGATTTTGGTCTGATTTACTCGACGAATCGTCTTCGATTTCGTTTTTAAGATTATTGAATGGTTTTGACTCTTTAGTTCTCCTTCCTGTGATTGCAATGATGTCCTCCTAATTTCGTGATTCAGCTAGATTTTAGCTGCCTGACGTCCTCTTTAAAGAATGAGTTGGGTTTTATTTGGAAAGATTTTCAATTTCGCTTTCCAATTTTGCAAATTTGGAGATGGATTTGATCCGTTGTAGGTCAATCCCACTGTTCTGTGTGCTGTAATTGTAAATGAGACCATGCAAAGGTTGTGCATCGATGTTCTGGAGTGCTTGATTTGTAATTGAGGATTTGGTAGTCTGGTTTTGGTTCCAATTTTCCAAGTTCATTGCTTACTTCCTATTATGCAAAATGTTTTTGAATTCGTAGAGTTCTGGGTTTGACTCTATTTGATGAACGATAGTGAATATTCCGTGCATTCTATATCTTTGGATTTGTACACTTGGTGGGTAATTTGAAATCTGGAAGCTCATAGTTCAGTTTTGCTTCATACAAATTATTTGTCTTGGTAGAGATTCAAATGAGGGGTCATAGTTCTGTTTTTTTCATACGATCTAATGACATTGTTTTTTTTTGTCTTCAGGAGTCTCTTTTTGTTTCTTAAAGATATACAGGGCGTCAAGGAGCAGCTGAGTATATGCTACGAGTGCTACATTGCGGAGGCTGTTCTTTCAGATGATCGGCAGTAACTATATTATGCTTGAACGGTGCCATAATGGGCATCTGTCTGATGAAGCGCTGCTGCTCATGGCTTCTATTGATCTCACTGCTTTGTGCCCTAACGAATGAAAATGAAGCAATTAGTCCTGATGGTATAGCTATATGTCTCCGTAATCTCTTCCATATTTTTTCTTTGACAAGGCAAGATCACCATCTACTCCACCCAGATTGCTGAAGGGCTTATATCCTTTTTTCTTCAGGTGAGGCGCTTTTGAGTTTTAGAAATGGAGTTGCGGATTCTGATGGTGTTATTGGCCAGTGGAGACCAGAGGATCCTGATCCATGTAACTGGAAGGGAGTGACCTGTGACGCAATAACAAAAAGAGTTATAGCCTTGTAAGTTTGAACTTTCTTTAGTTTAAACTCTCTTGTTTTCTTCAGTATGTGGTGCATCTTTGTTGGTTCCTGAATTTTCTTGTATACAGGAGTCTTACTCATCATAAATTAAGGGGAACTTTACCCCCTGAGCTTGGAAAGCTGGACCAGTTAAGGCTTTTGTATGTGCTCCTAACCCTTAATTAATTTTATTTTTGTCTGGCATATGCTCTACTGCTCAACGTACGTGTATTCCCTTGTCATCGCAGAATTCTTCACAACAATTTTATATATGACCCAATACCTGCCGCATTGGGCAATTGCACAGCACTAGAGGGAATGTAAGTGCTTTCCCAAAATACATATGCTGATTAGTGATTACACTTCATTGCTGATCGAATTTTTCTTTAACTTTTTCCGAATTTATAATATCTTTCTGACAATTGCTAATGCTTTTCTATATTTTCTTCTATATACTAGTTGGTGCGTAATATTGATGTGTCTTGTGAGTGATGATAAACCAATGGTTTTAAGTCAAAAGTTTAGCTGGTTTACAAGAATCGTTGTGAACTTTTTTTTAAATTTAGTCCCTCTATTCCTTGCAGATACTTGCAGAATAATTACATCGGTGGAACAATCCCAAGTGAAATAGGAAACCTGTCCGCGCTGAAAAACCTGTACGTGGTTTTTCTCCTCCTTCCAAGTGGATCTGTTTTCCTAGCCTCTGTAGGATCTGTTATTTATTGTTCGGCTAGCTACTCTCTCCATTGAATATCTTCTATATAAACATATAGTGAACCACAACAGCTTCTTCTGACCTTCCATGCAGCATAATGTTTTTCGAACATACTTAATTCTCTAGTCTTGTTGGACCTTAAAACGTACAGTGAGGTTGACTGTTTGACATAAATTATATCCAACACATGTATTGTGTTCTATTTGCTTGGTGAAAAACTCTCAAATGATGATGAGAGTTGTAAATCTATGTTAGCGCTTCCTTAATAACAAATGGACATATCATCTAGATTTTTCTGAACTACTAAGTTGATTCTTGACTCGCATTTATAAAGGGACATCTCAAGCAACTTTATCAAGGGAGCTATCCCTGCGTCACTTGGGCAGTTGAAAAAGCTTACTAAATTGTGAGTTGCTAGTCTATAACTTGTGTGTTTTATTTTATTTTGCTGTTCTGTGTATATTTGAGTCTCTATGTTACTAAGTGCTAACTATGTTGATCTTCTTTTGAAGCAATGTCTCAAACAATTTACTGGTGGGACAAATACCTTCCGATGGCCTACTCGCTCGATTATCGAGGGACTCGTAAGTATAATTCAACTTTACCCCTTTCCCCAACCAGATTTTAGGAAGTGAAGGTTGATAAACCTTTCTACGGTTGATCTGGCAAAGCAGTTTTAATTTTTCACGTTGTGCACAATAGCATAGCACATGTTGTTAGCTTTGCACCGGTATAGCTGAAAATGACCAAGTATTACTGATGCATCACTCTTGCAGCTTCAACGGAAATCTTAAATTGTGTGGAAAACAAATCGATGTTGTATGCAATGACACTGGAAATTCTACAGTTTCTGGGTCTCCAACAGGTATAACAGCTGTTTCTTCTTCATTTTTCTGTTCAGAATATATTGATCATATCTTAATATCCTCTATATAAACATATAGGGAAATTGTTGTAGTACATTATTTGGCGTGAAATGAGTTTGCTTTTTGGTTTCTCCCGTATTATAGGCCAAGGAGGCAATAACCCTAAAAGGCTTCTTATAAGTGCTTCAGCAACTGTGGGTGGGCTGCTACTAGTGGCGCTCATGTGTTTCTGGGGATGCTTTCTCTATAAAAAGCTTGGTAGAGTTGAGAGTAAAAGCCTTGCGATAGATGTAGGTGGAGGTGAGTCTTGCTGACTCTTATTGTAGAGATCAGCTCAAAAATAGATATATTTCTCTCAAAACTTGACACCATGAGAGACGATTTTACATATCTAGGTGCGTCTATAGTGATGTTCCATGGAGATTTGCCCTACGCTTCCAAAGACATTATCAAGAGACTGGAAACTCTTAATGAAGAGCACATAATAGGCTGTGGAGGCTTTGGAACAGTGTACAAGCTGTCGATGGATGATGGCAATGTTTTTGCGCTGAAAAGAATTGTAAAGTTAAATGAAGGTTTTGATCGGTTTTTTGAAAGAGAGCTTGAGATTCTTGGGAGCATCAAACACCGTTACCTTGTTAATCTACGAGGATACTGCAATTCACCCACATCAAAGCTTCTGCTATATGATTACCTTCCTGGTGGAAGCCTTGATGAAGCTCTACATAGTAAACCCTCAACTTCATATTTATGGGTTTCCCTAACCGATAATGGTGATTCTAATGAATGAAATCTTTAAATGTGTAGAGAGAGGCGAACAACTGGATTGGGATTCGCGAGTAAATATCATAATAGGAGCAGCAAAAGGGTTATCATACTTGCATCATGATTGTTCTCCGAGGATTATACACCGTGATATAAAATCGAGCAACATTTTACTCGATGGAAATCTAGAGGCTCGTGTTTCAGACTTTGGGCTTGCCAAGTTGCTAGAGGACGAAGAATCTCATATTACAACCATTGTTGCAGGCACATTCGGTTACTTGGCTCCAGGTACTTGCACAGTATTAGTAATGCTCTTTAATTGTTGTTACTCTCTGTCATATGACCTAAATTGATGAAATCATCATGAGTGTTGGTTGCAGAATATATGCAAAGCGGTAGAGCGACTGAGAAAACAGATGTTTACAGTTTCGGGGTTTTGGTTCTTGAAGTCTTGAGTGGTAAACTTCCCACGGATGCCTCCTTCATCGAGAAAGGCTTTAACATTGTTGGTTGGGTAAGCATAACGAGATCCCGCTTTCTTTCTTATTTTTGACATCGAAAGAGATCCCGGTTTGATAATAATATTGACTAGTAAAAGCTTTAAATCCGTTTTATATAATCTTGCAGCTAAACTTCTTAATCAGCGAAAACCGGGCAAAGGAGATTGTTGATCTAAGCTGTGAAGGAGTGGAGAGAGAGAGTCTTGATGCTCTTCTGTCAATAGCAACGCAGTGTGTGTCTTCAAGTCCAGATGAGCGGCCAACAATGCACAGAGTCGTCCAGTTACTTGAATCCGAAGTCATGACTCCTTGCCCCAGTGACTTCTACGATTCCAGCTCTGATTGATCTTACATTCACTGTCTGTGTGCCATCTTTTTCCGATTTCAGTTCTACACGACAAAGCTCGAGCCATTCATCTTCGGTATCTCTTTTTTCTTTTTGTATTTTTTGGTTTGAATTGTTAGAATGTTTTCGAGATTGGTGAAACCCCATATGATCTGAACATGAAATTAAAATGTATATGAGCATCCACTGTAGAAACACAACTGGTCTATGAATCTCAATAATTTCTCTATTATAAGTCAGTATCCATGTTGTACTTTGAGAAGTTGAGACCCAATTATAAAATATCAATGAGAGGACATCAATATAGGAATTATGAAAGCTGAAAGTTATTTGTAGATTGTGATTCTATATCTCCACAACGAACATATCGTGTAATAATAATAATGATGGATAATATAAAATCAAGTTCGAGACGTCGCCGTTACAAATCAGAAATTGGTAGAGCAGTCCATGCGTTGAAACGAGACCGTCCTCGCCTCCAAGTCATACCCAATTAGAAAATCCATCTGAGCAAAGTTCCCGTAGATGGCAACGTCGGTGGTCGGAATCATGCTAAGACAAACCATGTCTTCACTCATTCTCAAGAATGCGTTGATCGGACTCAGCCTCACGTCGGCTCCGGTGAAGTGCACCGTTATCTCCGGCAATCCGATCTCTGCGCTTCCGGATTTGAAACAGTGTGATAAAAGCCCCTGTGGATCACTCACACGCTTAGCCCCGGTCACTGATTCCTCCACGGCAGCGCCAAATTTGTCAAAGAAACCAGAGTCTAGGAGAGTCAGCGTCGTTCCAGAGTCGATGATGATGTTTCCTGACGTTTCCGAGAATATTCCGCCGTCGTTTGGGTTGTACGCGCTTCCGGTGTAGGGAATCTTTTTCTTCCCGACGGAGATGGCTTCGAGCGTCAAGTAGTAGTAAGTAAGAGGCTCTTTATCGACCAACGGAGTTGATACCACGCCCGAGTCTTTGCTTGGACTTGAAGGGATCGAGTTGGCGCCTAGGTTTATGACGCTTGTGCCATTCGTGGTAGATGACTTGTGTGATAAGCAATAAGAGAATTTATTCGAAATAGACGAGCTGAGCTGGGAGATTAGTGATAAGTGACCTCCACCAAGACCGATGATCCCAGAACCAGTCTCGTCGAAGGTACCACCGTTATTGTAACCGCAGCCAAAAACAGTACCGGGGAAAGAAACAGGGGACCCTGAAGCAGAGTCAATAGATATAGTTTCTGTGGCAACGTCTCCTTTGCTGAATGACTGGTCTCCGTATGAGTAACGGTACTTGCAGATACTGTTGGGTTCGTCGCATCCGCGTTCGCTTGTTGATAAGGCGTGACAGTTACGTGAGTCACAAGCCTCACTCTTGTAAGTAGATGATTTCTTCTTGTCGAAGATTGGACCGTTTTCTTTGTAACATTGTTGACAGGGCTTGCACTGGATCCAGGTAAGGTCACTTCCTGTGTCAGCGATGGCTAGGACCTTCATTGGTGGAGTACCGATGGCGATACTCATGAAGAACTCTCCGTCTGCTCCGATTAAACCAGATTGGAGATCGGTTTGAGATAACTGGTTATTGAAGCGGCGGGAACGAGAGATGGAGCGCAAGAAAGCAGCATTGAGGCGGTCAGTGACAGTGTTTAGTGGGTTGTAGAGTGGAGAAAGGGGAGAGTCACGGTGGATCAGCTCGACGGTGAAGTTTTTTGGGTGAGTTGATGATGAAGAAAGAGTCCCCGAGAATAAGATGAAGAAACAGAGAAGAACTGGGGTTGCCATTGTTTATTGATTTTAGAATATTTTGTGATGGTAAGAGTGAAGTGGTGAAGAGTTTTTATACCCAACAAAACTGGGGAAGTGAAGAGATTTTGAAACGGTAAGGAGTTATAGCTTCGTGAGTGGGAAGGTGAAAGTATGAAATCCAATTCATTAGCATAGCTTTAATTTATCATAAGGGTGCTACTTAATTTTGAGATTAGTGGGGATGTGGGGGGATTAATATCAACATATTTTAAACTGGGACTTGGTACTTGGAAGGTTAGGATATTTATGATCTTAAGAGCATATTTTGTGTGATATGTTATAGTCAGACCACACTATATATGGTACAAGATAATAAGATATAACTATAATGGCTGCTGATTTCTACGTATAATCGTTGATAGTACATATTAGACTATGAACAAAACTATAATGGCTGCTGAGTTCAAAATGGTGTGGAGTTTATACACGTAAAAGATAGCAGGATCGACAAGGTTACTCTTCAAACATAGGAGAAGCTTCAGGTGGCACGCGTCGAGCTATATAGAACCTTCTTATTATCTTATATCAGAGATAAACTGTTGGCTTTAGGATCTGACAGGACCAGTCCTTGTACCATCATTTACTTTTCTCATGTTGTAAACGAGCCTGTCTGGGGTTCTTGGGAGTTCGTAGGAGCCAGGAGAGCTGGGGTTTCTCAGAGCATCTTCTTGCAAGATTTCTTCAATCATGTTTATAATGCGGAACGCCAAGTTTGCAAGAACTCGAGAATATGCCTCAAGAATTATATGGCCAATATCCTGAAAACAGAGCAAAACTTTCCTTCATGAAACAATGTTTCTTAAGAAACAAATTTTTTTACGCATGAAGCAATGTTCATGATACTTCCCCTGACCTTTCCATATATTATCTTTGTGGCATCAAGAAATGACTGAGGGAGATTAGAGAATTTGCATTTGATCTGATCATTAATCCTCTCTGCCCTGTTTATGAGAAACTCAATGCGACTAATCTCAGACAACCGATCTTTAACTAATGACCACGATGCTCTCACAGGTGATCTACCACTGCTTGCTTGTTCTGTAATCCTCTCTTTTCATGCATATATATATGTATCTATGAACAATGGATCCTACATCTTTAGTTACTTCTTTAGTGCTCTTAGTTATGATTTATGCTTCCATGTTTAAAAAAAAAATAAAAAATCATAAGTCTAGGCAAAATAGGTTGGAAAACGTAACAGCGTTATTGGGCCAAAACTACAATTATAAAATGTGCTTTTATAAGGAAAGAACCATAACAATTGGCCCAATCGTGTGAAACTATATCTGTTGTGTATGAAATGTGGAGTGCCTACTTTGTAATAAAAAGAAGATTGAATTCCTCTTATTTATTCTCTTCATTTTTTGTGTGTGTGTGTGTCAAAATTTAAATTTCAAAGGTTAATATAACATTTATTTGGACATCATTGAACGATTAGCATGAGGGATTTAATTATTAGTACATAAATTGGAATCATTGATCATATAAGATATTGTTTTTTCTTGATTTTCCAAATCAACTTTTTAAAAAGAAAAATGTTTTCAAAGGTTGTACAATCTATAGTTTTTGTTGACAAAAAAAAGGTTGTACAGTCCAATTCTTCGAAAAAAGGTAAGAATATGACTTTTGTTATCCTTTTCTTTCCATAACATAACATTTGAAACAAAAAAAAATTATGGGTTATAACATTGCAATAGAAGTAACGGCCGGTCGTCTGATTTCGTGAGATTCGAAATAATAGTAGAAGTAGTCTTTTCATGAACAAATATATATATATATATATATATATATATATATATATATATAAGAAAAAGAAAAGTACATGAAATCGAATAAATTGGTGGATGATAAATATGTATTGCGACTAAGTTCGTAGCTTTTGATTTGTGGAATCCTTTGAATAGACCATTTGAGGTAAGGGTCTCCTTAACAGAAAAAGAATTGATCTTAGTGATGGTGACTGCTCTCTTTTTTTTCGAAATTCTTTTTAAATGTCTGAGTGGCTGGAATTCAAAGTTCGCATGATGTTTTGTCTTCTTCTTTTTTCCTTAAAACTAATCTTGCTCTCTACTTTATATATCTTTCGACCATTTTCATATATATACTACAAACAAAAACTATTTTCAAAAATCTCCAAGTGAAGTATATAAACCCTACTCTATAGGCTATGGATGTATATATTATAACCCTATGCATCTTTGACAACAAAAAACGTGTGATTCTTGTAATTAAAGTAATTCGCATGCACCTATCTAGTCACTTATGATTCAATGCAATGCTTTACTTCACTACTGTATGAGAATGAACAGCTGTTTTTATTTCTTTTCATTCATCATCATGCATGCAGCTTGTATTTCAACTGAGCAAACCAACATATTTATTTATAATACTTGAGCTTGTATTTTTTTTTTTTTTTTTTTTGGGTGTTTGCCAAGTTCATTCCAAACTCAGCTAGCTAGCCTAAACCAAAATTTAGTGATAATCATTGCCTAGGGAGATTGACGTACAGAGCAAACATATATAAGATATTATTATACAACAAAAACGCTTAATGGGTGAGATTAGCGGAGAATGAAAGCATTAATTTGATTAAGGAACAAATAAACAAACATAAAGATAACTAAAGAACATAATATATTAGAAAATAAGTACTTTATATTATAGAGGGTTGTCATATCAAGAACAACGCCTCCGTTTCTTTCGATGAATGGCTAAGAAAAGATGCGTTCGAGGAGCATAGAACTTTCCTTTTTTGGTAAATATTCGTATTGCAAGTACCCTTTTGCATTTCAAGCCAAAAACTAAAGCAGCCAAAGTAAAAAAACACCACAAGCAACACACGTTGATTAATGTGTACATGTAGGGGCTGATCTACCTCAACCTAAAATGACCCATATATATGATATACACATGAATTATATATTTTGTGGAGTCCATTACGAATATTCAGAACTAGGTTTAGTCTTAATTATAAATAAAAGATACGTGTCTTCTTTTTTGTGGTTGTCCTAATTTATGTTAAGTATATTACACTATAACATATGTTATTTCGAAATAGTAGGATTTGTTTAATTAAGTAGACGATATAAAATATAAGGTTGAAGTCTTAAGTGCATTTACACATCTCACGCACCTTCAAAAGAAGAGGTCCTTACCTTAAGTATACACAGTTACTTTATGAACTAGTTATATAGTTAGTGTCCATATATATATATATATGTTCTTTAACAATAGTCTTGAGCATCGAGACATACGGTTTTGTGGGGTCCTTTACCCTCCGATCCTTCTTAAATTGCACACTTCTCTCTTGTTTTTGTAAGAAGAAAGCAATCACTTATAAACATACTCTTTAAAGGGTTTAAAGGCTTTCAGCTAGGTTTTACAATATCTTCACTAGCTAAATTAACACACAAAGTTTTCAATGATGGTGACTCGTGCTTGTTCAATCATGGTTCTGTCTCGTTTTCTTATTGTTCTCCTGGTGATACTGCAGCTACACTTTGTGTGTACAACGGCAGCTCGACACGCACCGGTTGTTTCCTGGTCACCCCCTGAGCCACCTAAGGATGATTTTGTGTGGTACCACAAGATCAACCGCTACAAGAACATAGAACAAGACGCATTCAGACCAACCCACCAAGGTCCTAGTCAAGGTATCGGACACAAGAACCCTCCAGGTGCTCCTTGAAACACCTATTCGGTTTGGATTAAATTTACAGCTTTATCGCGCAGCGTTCGTCTGTTTTTCGATCTCTGTTGTGTGTTGTCTTTACGTTGATTAAAAGAAAAAGAAAAAAAAAAAAAAAGAAGAAGAAGAAGGGAAAGAAGTTGCATAACAGTTTCTTGTGGAGAGGACATGAACGTGAATCGATCAATCGATCAAGAAAATGATCTAAGAATTTTTTTTTCTCCGAAGTGATACTTCGTCCTTTATGAAAGGCCATGAAGACATCTCTTGGATTGCTTATAGTTTTTCTTTTTTCTTTTTTTTTTCTGTTGTATTTGTGTTTTTGGTTCAACGTTGAAACTGAGATGTTCATTCTTTTTCATTAGATGTAGTTTCTTTTTTCTCGGTTAAAAATAAAGTTAATGAGTGATGGCATAATTTTAAAAAGTTATAAAACTTCAAAACTCAAATTTATTTACATTTTTAGTTTTTGTTAGAAAATATTAATGAATATGAAAAATATGAATATTTTTGATCATTTTCATTGGTTAGCTAGATCAATTTGATAATTTATATGTTGTAGTATCTATATTATATTCGGTTACTTTAGAACTACGACTAATTTTATCACCCTAGTTCATATATAACGTTAAGTTCGAAGATGTTTTCACGAAAAAGACTATCAAAAAAATGGTTGCATACAAAGTATCCGATTGAGTAAAATACATGAGAATGTATCCCCAAGTTGTTCTATCTAAATGTAGTGAGCTTATTCTATCGAATATTAAGTTAAAAGAGATTGTCTTAAAAAGAGATATTACCAGAACATGTTTTATCATAAAAGGTAATATTCTCGACAAAATTGAGCTGTTTCTGTTGTGAATATAGTATTCGTGTAGATGTTTGGTAGATACTTGTATAAAACATTAATATCATGGTTATACAACAAGCATATATTATAAATATCAAATGATAAATAAATGCGAATGTACCATCAATCTACCCAAAAAGAAATGAAAAAGGAAAATAATAACATAAGCTTTTTCGTTCCTTGACATATAAAATGCCAACTTCTTATATAGTACCATTTGGTACATTGTTGTCAAATACAGAAGAAAAAAGAAAATATAACTTTAGAGTTATAAAAGAAGAAAAGATATTTTAGATTAACGATCGTGGACACGTTAGACCAAATGCTTTTTTATCTTTTTGAAGATGGATTTAGGAAAAGGTATAGTAATGATGTGATACAAAAATGGAACTTGTACTAGGTTATAAGCAAGTTGGTGCCCAAAAAGCTTTATAATAAATAATTTAATTTGATCAGCATGCAGTAACTATAATAATATCAATCAACACATAAAAGATTCCGACTAACTTTTTTTATAGGTTAAAAAATATGCTGAGTTTGTAAAAAGATTAATATGGATTGTGCACTGCGTTGGTTCTTTATTATATGCAGAGACATGTGGGGGTGTGTGTTTTCGGCTGTTCTATGGAAGAGACTATATATTATACTCCACTTTAAATACGAAAGAAATATATTAAAACAAATTAAGAAAAAGGGATTGGACACGGATTCGAACAAATTTGTACTGTTTGTATACAAAGTAAGTTATTGGAGGTATAAAAACACACGAAATTTTCAAACATTTATACTAAGTACGCCATTAAACCTAAACTATTTGTATTAGAATTAGAAACATCAAATAGGAAAAGTCCATTTTTAATGGCATTTGTAAATTTTACCATCTTGCTTTAAATGTTTTAGATTCTGTCATTTTTTAAGATTTAAAAAGATAATTTCACATTATGTTTGAATTTTTATATTTCCTCTTTTTTAAAAAGGTTAAGCGTTTGCTATATTAAGTATGCATTTCATAAAAAAAATAAAATCACAAATATATCGTTTTTTTAAGTGGCCAAAAAAATGAAAAATCCAAAAGATAAAAAAAAATTGTTCGAAACTGGAAATTTCTGCAATAATTCTTTATCAGAAACTATTAGGACTAAACGATTATTTGATTTTGGGTTTTGTTTTAAAGGTGGAATATTTTTATTATTATTTTTTAGTTAGTGGTGGGAAGATGAACCCTCTGTCTTTAGCAAATAGAGGGGATTATGAAATTGCTAAAAATGTTGTTAATCAAGATTAGTAAATCTTTAGTCGTATTTTGCTCATGGATTCCCAAATTGTCTCGACGGCGAGAGGAATCCTATCGAAGTATGAATGTTCTCTCCTTTTCAGCTTTCATGGGTTTTTTGTATATTGGGCTATGTGGGCTTTGTTTATTGAGGCCTTGTTTAAGTCTTTTTGTTATGGTTTGAATGATCGAGTTTTGTTACATTTTTATATTTGATTTTCTTTTCAAACAAGTGAAATAATGTACATTGTTTCTTCACCTTCGTAGAGGGTAGAGGCGAATGGGAGTGCAAATCGTTGATCAAAATAAAAGAAACCGTTTTCAGATTATTATTTTGAGTCAAATTAGAGTTGAGTGACCGGTCTGACGTATTCCCAATCATCACAAACTCATTTGATATGCTAATGCTACCATTCTAAGATTTTTTTTTTTTTTTTAATTTGAAAATGTATATTATGATATTTAGTTTGAACTCTTTAATAATTTTGTTTAAGAAACCTAACTATATTGTTTAAAGATAAAAGAGAATTCTGCCGAACATTTGCAAGAAGTTGCGCTTACCCTAAACTCTACGGAAATCTATACTCGAGTTTGGATTTATATCTACAATTTAGCTTATGAACAAATTAGATATCTTCATCAACTCACATCATTTCCTTGGAAAAATAATGAGAGTTGACATGTTCGGACATCGTGGGATTTGGGAAACCAGATAACAAAGTCAAAGCTACTAACTAGACAAGAAAGCCATTTTAACTTTTAAGATCTCTACTCTTGTCTTTCTGTCCTTGAGTATTTTATTTTTCCCAAATGCATGCATTTAAATTTTACTTAACTACAGTAGCCTACAAGTAGCCTACAAATATGATATAAATTGATATTTCAATTATGAATTATTGATATACAAGTACACACACAACAAACAAACATGTACAAAATTGAGCTAAACCATTTTACTAGAGAAGAAACAAATTATTAATGGGTTTTAAATGCCACTATTTTGCATTACTTGGGAGTTGCGGGGGAATCAAATCATCATCATCAATGTTGAATAAACAAACAAAAAATTTAATAATGCAACCCAAAGTAAAATTCGATTATGAGCGTAGCTGCTGAAGAGAAGACGCCGAAAACGAAGTTGACCAGAGACCTACCAAACGATCGAAAAAATCAATCGAACAAGAGGAAGAAGAAAACAAAACCCAACAAATAAACAACCCAAAGACTAAACCTTTCTCTGTAATGGAGATTTGAGGAAGAAGAAGAAGAAGATTTTGAAATTGGGTAAATAATGGTGGAGGGTTGGCGAAATGGGTTTCGCGAAGCCACGAATTCGAAGCCTCTGTTCGTGACGATCTACGCGACGGTGATCATCGGCGTTCTCGTCTCTTCCTTCTATGTCTTCTCAGCCATTTACTCTCCCACCAATGGCTCATCCTCCTTCCTCTCCTCTCCTCCTCTATCCAGTAACCTCTCTCTCTCTCTCACACACTCTCTCTGTGCATGTATTCTGGTTTGGTTACATTCTGCGTTGCATTGCTTTAAGATTTTGGATTTGCGGTCTGAGTTTGATAGTTGTGTTTGATTCTGTAAGCTAATTGATGTCTAATCATTAGGTGAGATTTTTGGAAGTGAGGTTCTTTAATCCGTTGGTTCTGATTCTAATTCGAGCTCACCGTTGACCTTTAAATCTCACTGTTCGTTTGAAAAGCCCTTTTTTTGTTGTTTGATACATTGGATTTGCTATAACCTGAGATGGGTTTTGAATTTGTTCGCTTTAGTTGATTTTCATCTCTGCTTTTGAATCTGATCAAGTGATTAACTTGGATCTGCATTTCATTGCTCAAGGTGTCTGTTAAAGTTTTGATTTTTCTTAAGTCTAGTGTTCTTCTCGGACACTACATTTTAAATTCAATGGTACTAGGCTAGCTGAGCTTGTTTGAGTATACATCAATCTCATTATGGAGTGGTGAAACTTTTATTTTTTTTGTTTTCCCATTATGTTCAATCTATTCATGAGTTTTCATTGTAGCTGCTGGCCGAATTCACCGTCTTCCACAAGAAAATGCAACATTGGAGTTACCAGTAGTAGCATCACCACCACCACCGGAGGCACTCCCACCGCCAGTTTTGGAGGAGCCTAAAGGCAAATCCTTGGGTAAAATCTGGGTGTCTCCTCCGCGGGACAAGAAGATGCCACCGCTTGAAACCTTTAAACTGACCAAAGAATTGTTTGGGGAAAGAGTGAAGGATAATGTCATTATAGTGACGTTTGGGAACTATGCTTTTATGGATTTCATTTTGACTTGGGTTAAACACTTGACTGATTTAGATCTCTCCAATATTCTAGTTGGTGGGTTTTCATTTCTAACATATGTGTCTATTATCCATTTCACTGTCTTTCTATAAGTTAGTAACTTTATGTGATGACGCTTTATAGGTGCGATGGATACTAAGTTATTAGAGGCTTTGTACTGGAAAGGCGTTCCTGTTTTTGACATGGGAAGCCACATGAGTACGGTAGATGTGGGGTGGGGTTCTCCAACATTCCACAAAATGGGAAGAGAAAAAGTTTTTCTCATAGATTCTGTATTGCCTTATGGTTACGAGCTACTAATGTGTGACACTGACATGGTGTGGCTTAAGGTACTAATTCGGCACACTGTTAACACCGTTATTCGTCTGGTTATCTTCCCTTAATGATTTTCTTCTGGTAATATTTATATGATAGAACCCTCTGCCTTATTTGGCTCGATACCCGGATGCTGATGTTTTAACATCAAGTGATCAAGTTGTGCCTACCGTCATAGATGACAGTTTGGACATATGGCAACAAGGTAGATTTTAGCTAACATTTCCCCATTTAAAATCGCTTATCATTAATAGCAGCTAATCTGTTGCACATGACTACTAACTATTTTCTATACCGTTCTTTTTCTTGGACTTTGAAAGTTGGTGCCGCCTACAACATAGGAATTTTCCATTGGCGGCCAACAGAATCTGCCAAAAAGTTGGCAAAAGAATGGAAAGAAGTTCTCGTAGCGGATGATAAGGTTTGGGATCAAAATGGGTTCAATGAGATTATTAGGAAACAGCTAGGTCCATCTGTAGATGGGGACAGTGGACTTTTCTATGCTTATGATGGCAATCTCAAGGTTGGAATTTTGCCTGCTAGCATATTTTGCAGTGGTCATACTTACTTTGTTCAGGTACCTTTCTACATGCTTCCTGTTTTTGCGGTTTTTGTCTTCTTCTTTTGTGTTCAGGAATGGCCTAATGATAGATAACTTCTATTTTATATGGCAGGCTATGTACCAACAGCTCAGGCTAGAACCATACGCCCTGCATACAACATTCCAATATGCAGGTACTGAAGGAAAACGCCATAGGCTGCGAGAGGGGATGGTTTTCTATGACCCACCAGAATATTATGATTCACCAGGTAAAATTCTTTTTATTAAAAATCGTCAACCTTATTCTTGTTGATGAGAAAAAACAAAATCAATAATGTAAACTCCAACACAACACAGGAGGTTTCATTGCTTTCAAACCATCTATTCCAAAGAGCATGTTACTCGACGGGAAGCATACCATTGAGTCACACTTTATCCTCGTTAATCACCAAGTAACGTCTACTAACTTAACATGGTCCCTCGGAACTAAATGTTAACTTGACCACTTTTCTAGTTTTACATCTACATTTGGTCCACTTTGCAGATGAAACAGGTCAGATCAGCTCTAGCCATTGCGTCTCTTCTTAATCGTACACTGGTGAGTCTATTCAACAGCTTGTATGCATATTACCTGATGATAATGTTTGATTCTTACTATATAGCTGGTTGTCCTCTATAATTTTTTCAGGTGATGCCACCAATTTGGTGCAGATTAGATAGGCTTTGGTTTGGTCATCCTGGTACTCTTCAGGGATCTATGACCCGACAGCCTTTCATCTGCCCTCTTGATCATGTCTTTGAGGTATTGTAATAACGTTTAAGCATGTCTATATTTTCTCTGATTCTTTCTCTGCAAATGCCTCATAACACCCTGACGAATTTCATTTGCAGGTCAATATCATGCTTAAGGAGCTTCCGGAGGATGAGTTTGGCCCTGGGATTGGTATCAGAGAATATTCTTTTCTAGATAACCCAGCATTGCCGAAACAAGTAACAAAAGCTGCAAAGATATTGTTGTTTTTCTAATTAATCATTTCAGAAGTTAATCCTCAGGAATGAAAATTATTTTCAGGTAAAAGAGTCATGGCTTGATGTTCAGCTTTGTCAAGAAGGAAAAGAAGGATGTGAGGCATCAAATAACACAAGCCCCTCTCGGGTTCTTAAGTTCCCAAAGCGGAGCAATGAAGATACGGTAATTAAGATTTCTGTAGATATCTATCACTCTTGGTTAGATATGTTAAAGTAACCTCCGGCTTAGCCTAATCATTTTGTTTTGTGCCCTCTGCAGTTCAAGGCGATATTCTCTTCCTTCAACGATGTCAAAGTGATCAAGTTTTCTTCAGTTGAAGATGCTTTCATTGGATTCTCGGACAAGGTAAGTAGATCTTTGAACCGTGGAACAATTTAGACATGTTGATACAATATGTAAATCTGATCTGGCCTATTCTGGTTTTGTGTGCGCAGGAGCGAGAAGAGAAATTTAGAAGGCGGGTAAAGAGATATGTGGGAATATGGTGCTGTGAGGAGAACAAAACTCCGGGACACATATACTACGATATGTATTGGGATGAGAAACCTGGTTGGAAACCGGTTCCTCCGCAGACACCAGAAGAAGATCATCCTCATCTCTGATAACATGACCAGCAAGGAGACTCCAAGAAGCTTACATTCGAAGAGACATAGGGAGTTCTTTTTTTTTTTTTTTTCTTACGGCCTCATTTACTTTATACTTCTACTGTGAAACTGTGTCTTTCAAATCTGTCCTACTCAATGTATCATGTTATAACAATAGGTTTGGACACAAAAAAAAATTGTTTTTTCATATAATTTTACTGTAGATTTTATATCAATAAATGGCCTATTTAGTTGTTTGGCTTACAAACCTCAGATATATGCAGTAATCATATCCTGTCGAAGTTGGTTTCGGATTACGGTAGAGAAACATGTTTTTAAGACGCAAACCATTAACTAAATTGACCTTGGATCATCATCGATACATAAATGTCTCAGACAGATGGGAACTGGTCGGTAGTCTATTATATAACCAATAAAGATCACCCATAAGAAGATACCAAAAAAAAAAAAGAGAACCGTTTCTTGGATGATATAGTAACAGAAACTAAACAGTCTTAAGGACAACGCAAATGTGAGAAATCAACGAGACTTGGGAAAATGTTGAGACAAATGCTTCGAAATCTCGAGGAACATGACAGAGTCTTTCCCACTGAAGATGGTCTTGAGTTTCTCATCACATAGAATCTCCCTCTTGTTTGCAGGATTCTACATCAAAAACCAAATAATATGTGGGTTGGAATCAGAAATCTCTCAAAAAAGGATTCAAAGATCAGCTAAGGCTAACACAATAAAAGAAGAGACTTCCATAGCACATTGCCCAAATACAACAAGAAGCAAGAAAATCAAAGTACAAATAACCAAAAAAATTAGGCTTTGAAATGTTCACTCAGGATCGAATCATAAGCAGATTAGTTCTAGCTGCATTCACAAAGATAAGCTTGAATATTGAATTAAGATGCTAATCACAACACCTTGTTCTACCATTTTGAAAAAAGCAAGTTTCTTCTGGACAACACAAATGCTAACCTAAGTCTCAACAAGTGACCAAAATTTAGCAATCAGTCAACAAAGCTCCCCAAAATCCAGTAGAACGCGCACAGAGTAAGACTCAGAAATTTCGAGAAAGCAAAAAAAAACCAAACCAAAACCCTAACCTGAAGGTTGTTAAGCTTGATGTACTCCCAGATTTTCTTGACGGCGGTAGTACGGGAGACTTCGTTTTCTCCGATAAACTGAGCGAGCGGCTGGGAAACGGGAACTACCTTGAGAATGCCAGTACCTTGTCTGCGACTGCTAACAACGCCGGAGGAAGAAGCGGCCTTCGCCATCAGTACCCTGCAAGCTCCAAAAACCCTTGAAACTGTCGCCATTTCTACTTCACACTGATTTTTTGAATTCGAGAAGGGAGAGCTCTCTCTTTCTCTGTGTCTAAAACCCTAGATCAAACCCAGACTTTGAAACTTGAAACGCTTCAGTCTCTCTCTCTCTCTCTCTCTCTCTCTCTCTCTCTCTCTGACCTTTGTGGGTTAATGGAGGTGCAGTTGGATCTTCTTATTTTGGGCCTTTCAAACCAAGATTATGGGCCTGTTTTGTATTTGTTTGTGCACTCTTTTTTTTTGTTTTTGTGCACTCTTCTAGTTTACTAATTTCTATTACACCAAAGATTGATAAAATATGTTTTTTACTTTCTTTTTCACACCAAAGATTAAGGTATTAGTAATATGTTAACTCGATAAATTATTATTTTTAATATTTATTTTGTATTAGATAATTTTTTTAAAAAAGTACAAGTATAGGTTGTATAATATATGACGGTAGTAATTGATAGAGGTTTTACCGTATATAGAAATATTCATTTTGAGTTTTGAGATGTTGGGAGTTATGTTAACCAGAATTATGTCAGCGATGGCCATGATTCCTAGCTAAGTTCATGATTTGGAAGTTAACACGATATAACGCAAAACCCGATTTAGACCATGTAAACATGCTAACTTAGAATTAGTTCATATTTTTCCGACAATTAAGAATGAAGTCTTTAAAGTCTTGTGTTGTACCGTTTGATATCAAGCATTTGGATGTGATCAAAAGATACAAATTTGTCGCCAACAATATAACAAATTCAAAAATATTCGACAAACAAAAGATACATGAATTCTCAATCTAAAACAAGAGAAAACGATGAAAAAAAAACTTTAATAAAGAGAGACCAAAACAACAAACGTTTGTGATGCGACCGTACCCTTTGGTGGTGAAATCGTGACCGTAACCCCGACCCGTTTAAAAACTACTATCAGCCAATCAAAAACCGCGACGTACCCTACTTCATGCACACGTAAGATTTTGAACTCTCTCTCTCTCATAAAACTCCGTCACCGGCAAACACAAAATGGGCCCTCGTTGCCGTCTCTTATCGAGACCAAAATTCATCGTTTACTCAAAGAGAGAGATTAAAAAAGTGTATCTCCGTCAACTCACGTCGTCGCAAGTGTCTTTATAACGCCGTTAGTTTTCCTCTGCTTCTACTATATATATAAATTACTCACGGCCAAGTCTTCCTTAATGTCTTCTTCTTCTTCACTTATTTCTCTCCGTCCATCCTTCTTTTAAAATAAAACCCGGATCGATCTCCCTGTAACATCTAACCGGGTCATCTGTACTCTGTTTCTATATACTCTGTATTTTCAATATCTACGACAATATTGGTTTCTGTTTCTGAGGGGTTTTGATATATTTTGGCTCCAAGAAGACGTTGTGATTCAGGTACGACGACTCAGTTCATTTCTAATTAGCTGGTTTCACTCAAACTTTGCTTTTGTTCATTTCTTTGACTTTTCTGCTTTGAACTGTTGCATTCTCCCTTCTTCATCCATTACTTCTTGATTAATTGTTTTCGAATCGTCCTTCTTCATCTTCTATTATGGTTTCATCTCCCTCTCCTCTGGTTAATGGCAAACAAACACATTACCCCAAATCTTTTACTGACCAGATCACTCCTGGCCAAAAGGAGAATCATAATTTTATTTTATTTTCCTGGAAAAATCAAGTTTCTCTTGGTCTTGACTACTGTTTTCCTACTTTACTTTTGCTTTTTTACTCGACAAGAAAAAAAGAAAAAAAAAAAGAAAAGAAGAAGAAATTGTGTGTGTTTGTGTTTCTTTCTCCAATGAAAAAAACAAAAAGCCAAAATGATAAATAATCAATTACGTTGCGTCCTTTTGCTTCCCGCATTTACTCTGATTACTACAGCCTGACCCTGTAACGCTGCTAAATCTCTGCACTCTTGATGGGCTATTTTAGGCAATAATAAGTTAAACCCCTCTCAAGTTCCTCAGATATACTCTCTCTCACACACACACGCTTTAAACCCTGCAGACATATCTATACAAAGGTAAGCAAGCAGCTTAACCCCATACTTCCCATTCAATACCCTTAAAACATTTAATTCTTCTTTTACATGCTTTGGATTCCATTCATTTTTTCGACATGCATTAAGATTTGGTCCATCATCATCACTTATATCCCAAACTCTTTCTTTCTTGGTTTTAGCTCTCTCTTTTTCTTTTTTTTTTCATACATACACGTGACTGTTAAAGATTCCATTTTGTTGCAATGTTCTTTTCTTTACTTCTGGCTGTAATGAATTTGAGTGTGTGTCCTCAGTTTTAGATCAAAACGTTACTTGGACACGAGTGAATGAGAAGAAAACACACATATTGTTTGTTTTTTAGTACGTTTATATGCTCTCTACATATATTTAAGTGTCAGAAACCGAAGGAAATAAATATTCTTTTGAAACTTTTGATTTCTATGTGTATATGACGAGGAGATGGGGTCTTTTTAGTTTTAACTTGGGTATTGCTGCACAACAAAGCATTTACACACTCAGTTTTGGCTTCTCTATTCAGACCACTTTCTTTATTATATAAAAGATAAAGGAACAAAAGAATATTAATTCTTGTAAAACCTTTTCTTTGTTATATACTAACAGGCATCGGTTGTCTCTATCATGATCATATTTCAGATATTATTATTATTCGAAAGAGTATAATTTGATCTATTCAGGTGCCTCGACAATCGTTTTGAGATTGTTTTTTTGCTTTCTTTCTATGTGGTCCTCTCCTCTCTGATCCCTAAGTTAATCTTTGAACACTTTTGTCTTTATCAAGATATTGCCCCTAATTATGAACCTTCCTAGCATTGTCTTTTTTATAATCATATACTTTTTAAAACTTGTATGATCTCTATCTCTACTTTATTTTATAATAAGTTCCTTAATTTCTTGAAATGTTTACATAAATATCATTCTTTAATCTGTTTGTGTTTATGACAAAAAAAAATATATTACTCTTTTATTATTGGGTTTTTTACAACTTTTTTTTTGTTAGTTGAGTTGCTTATCTAATGAATTAATTAAGCACTAGCATCACTTGCCATTTTTTTGATGCTTTGTTTCGTTTGTATCTATCTTTACTTTTGAACTATGACTAGTGGTTTAGCTGTGATGTTTATTAATACACTGTGTTTTATGGTTATATTACAGGGCCTAAAAGAGCAGAGGACATAAAAAAGAGTGCAAAGATGTTTACTTGCATAAACTGTACAAAAATGGCAGACAGGGGTGAGGATGATGAAGATGAAGCGCGTGGGAGCACCACTCCCAATACTAAAGAAGCCGTTAAAAGCCTAACTACACAGGTCTCTTTCTCTCCCTAAAGATCAATTCTTTCCTCTCTTTTAGTTTCTTTCACTTTTATTTTTTGTTGCTTTGTTTTGTTCCTAATTGCCTTGGTCATGAAACAAACAATACCCACAGAAACAAAATGGTCCTTAAAACTGTTTAAACAATTGTGGTGAAAAAAATTGATATAAACAGTTTTGAAAACCCTCTTCTTCTTTTTTATGATAAAAGTATTGAGAAATTTGGCTGTCAAGTACAAAAGTAATAGAGGTTACTGTTGTTAAGGCTGCTGCAGGGTTATTACAACAAACAAAATTCGGATCTTTTAGAAAAGATCTTACGGGTGATGCAACATCACTTCCCTTCTTGGAATCTCTTACAAATCTATCTTTAATAGGTTCTGTCAGTGTTTTTTTTTTCTTCTTTCCCCCCGCCTCTATGTGACTAGACATTAACTGGAGCAACAAATAATTAAAACCTCAAAATTATGTTTCAAGTTGAGTTTTAGGATTCTACTTACATATGTAGTAGTGGCTGATGATGTGTTTTTGATGATATTATTTCATTAAGGTTGATTTATTGGAGAAAAAAAGCTAATGGGAAGTCACGCCTTGTTGTTGTTGAACATGATTTTTGCTTGTTATTGAAGATTGATCTTATATATATAACTTTCCTAGAATAAGTCCCTAGTGGATTCTTATTTAGACATGAGAAAAAAGAGAGACGAAGAATATTATGGTGGGGCAAGTATATATAGATAGTATAAATCAAAAGAAGCAAAAACAAAAGAAAGTTATGATTATGTTCTATTCACGGAGAAGACAAGATGAACTATATTTTATGTTTCAAATTATATATCAGATCTTCTATAGCTTTATTGATGCTCTTTATGAATGATGATAGTAGACTCCTTTTTTTTCCTAGTTGGGTTAAAAGAAGAATCATCCATTTCTTGACTCACTCTGTTTCATGGCAGAAGACTTTTATTGCTTTACTTACTGTTTGTTACCTTGTTCTGTGCAACATTATGTTCTCCAATGATCACGTAGTACTACTATGTTTTGTGTTTTTGAGATTATAATAATTTCGTCAGCTTCTTTTGGTATGGGTGATATATGCAGATCAAAGATATGGCGTCGAAATTCTCGGGTGCTCATAAACCAAGCAAGCCAACTCCTGGCTCATCGAGTAGCAACTTGAGGAAAGAGGAGAGAAAGTTTCCGGATTTTGACACTGCATCAGAAAGTGTTCCATACCCTTATCCAGGTGGAAGCACGAGTTCCACTCCGGCTTGGGACTTACCAAGATCCTCCTACCATCAGTCTGGACGGCCAGACTCAAGATTTTATGGTGGTGAACGTGAATCCATCTCTGCTCAGTCGTGTGATGTGGTACTAGAGGATGACGAGCCAAAGGAGTGGATGGCTCAAGTAGAGCCTGGTGTTCATATCACATTCGTCTCGCTTCCTAGTGGAGGAAATGATCTTAAACGGATACGTTTTAGGTACATGATAATCATAACATTTTCAAGAATAAGTTTCATTTTGAGGGAGGACACACAATAATTTGATGAAGCTAACATTTTGTTTTATCTTTGTTGAAGCCGGGAGGTATTTGACAAATGGCAAGCTCAGAGATGGTGGGGTGAGAATTATGACAGAATAGTTGAGCTTTACAATGTCCAAAGATTTAACCGACAGGCTCTTCAAACCCCTGGTAGATCCGAAGACCAGGTAAGAAATTAACATCACTCTTTAGATTACAACTGAAGAGAAGGTGTTTATGAGTAGTAATAATCATTTATCTTTCAACTTGTGTATGTTTCTTCTTTCAGTCGCAGAGAGATTCAACTTACACAAGAATTGATTCGGCAAGAGAAAGCAGAGACTGGACACAAAGAGACAACAACTTCAGACCACCAGGAGGCAGTGTTCCACATCACTTTTATGGACCTCCAATGGACGCAGCACGAATCACCACCTCATCTAGGGACGATCCGCCTTCCATGAGTAATGCTAGTGAAATGCAAGCTGAGTGGGTTGAAGAGGACGAGCCTGGCGTCTACATTACCATCAGACAGTTACCAGATGGAACCAGAGAATTACGCCGCGTCAGATTCAGGTAAACAAACCAAACAAAATAACTATACCGATCATACGCAAATCCCTTGTAGTTTTACTCAAAACTAAATCAAACCGTGTGGTGTTGCAGTCGGGAACGGTTTGGTGAAGTGCATGCCAAGACATGGTGGGAGCAGAACAGAGACAGAATACAAACGCAATACCTCTAAGAGGAAAATCAAAAGAGCCATTATTTAATCTTCTCTTAACACAACAAAAGAAAGGTATACACAAAATTCAAAATTTTGTTCATCTTCTTAAATTTGGAAGAGAATCAGAATCAATTCAGAACGGAAAAATATTGAGTTATTAGAGATTTCTAGTTAGCTAGTTCTCGGCGTTTTGATAGCTGTGTAATTTTCCTGACGATGATGACATGAGCTTTATGCCTTTATTTATTTGTTCATTTTATCCCCATGCGTTTGTTTGTCATATCATGGCTGTCACATATCCTCAACTCTAATCTTCAAAAGGAAAATAATCAACCATGCTATGCTGTTGAATTCGATTTCACAATTTTTCTGGATCAACAGATGATTCCAACATAACTTTGGATATTAAAAAAAAAATTGAAATATAAATATCAATAGTAAATTACTAAATTAGATCAAAGGAATTAAATAAAGGAAATAGAAAAGAAGAGGAAATTATATATAGATTTTTTTCTAAAAACTAGAAGAAAAGGAAAAGAAAAACATAATATAGATTATAGAGAGCAAATTTGGAAAATATATTAATAAAAAGATATAGAGAGTCTTATAGAAGAAGTAAATAGATTTGGACCGTAAGATCAGATTCAATCATAACCATCCATTATGGAGGTGAACTTGTATATAAAGAGGTAGGATCCTTTGTTTGTAATCATCCAATCATTTGTAAACAAAATAAATTAAACACTTGTCTAAAGTTTCTCTCTAAGTAGCAAAAGTCCAACTTTTTATATTGAAAGATGAACGAGGAAGAATCATCGGAGAAACAATATGATATCCTCATGGACCTGAAAGATTCAGTCGGGAAGCAAAACGACATTGCTCTGAGGTTGACTCAGCACGTGATCGCCACTTCTACCGCCGGGAAACCCACGAACCTCGTCTTCTCGCCGGCGTTAATCAACGTCATCCTCAGTTTTATCGCCGCCAGATCTCCCGGAGCCACCGCAGACGGGATCGTCTCTTTACTTCAGGCTTCTTCAACCGATGAGCTTAACGCTGTCACCTCCGGGATCGTCACCACCGTCCTTGAAGACAGCACCGCTGATGGAGGCCCGACGATATCGGCAGCGAATGGCGTCTGGATCGAAAAGTCTCTCACAGTGGAACCTTCTTTCGGGGATCTCTTGGTGAATTCGTATAAAGCTGTTTTCCACCAAGTTGACTTTCGCAACAAGGTACTCTATCTCTTTTTGATTCGAATAAACCTAACTCCTTTATAAAGTTACTAGGGATTTTTATACTACACTAGCATTAACTTGCTTAGATTTAACATACTAACATGCTTGGACACTTAGACGACACTAGTTTGATGTGTGCATGTATATAAAATATTTTGTGAAATCAAATCACAGTTGTTGATAGCTCTTTCTGTTTGTTTGTTTTTGAAAGGCTGGTGAAGTGACTGAAGAGGTGAATTCATGGGTTGAAGAGCAGACAAAAGGACTCATCACTAATCTTCTTGCACCAAACTCTGCTTCTCCTCTGACTGATATCATATTTGCTAATGCCTTGTTCTTCAACGGAAAATGGGTTAAACAATTCGATCCATCTCTAACAAAAGATTCCGACTTTCACCTTCTTGATGGAACCAAAGTACGAGTGCCCTTCATGACCCATAGCTCATCGTTTGGATTCCATCTCGATGTTTACGAAGGTTTCAAAGTCCTCGATCTAGGGTACAGAGGAGCAAGACTCAAAGATTGTCGTGGTTTCTTGATGCAAATCTATCTCCCTGATGAGAAAGATGGGTTGCCCGCAATGCTGGAGAGATTAGCTTCTACTCGTGGATTCTTGAAGGAAAAAGAGGTCCTTCCTAGCCACCGGGCGTGTATCAAAGAACTCAAGATTCCAAGGTTTAAATTTGCTTTTGATTTCGAAGCCTCTAAAGCTCTCAAGACTTTGGGTTTGGAGGTGCCGTTGTCCACGATCGTCCACAAGTCTTGCATAGAGGTCGATGAAGTGGGATCGAAAGCTGCGGCTGCTACCGCATTAAAAAGTTGTGGAGGCTTTTTTCGAGCGCCAAAGAAGTATGACTTCGTGGCTGATCATCCTTTTCTGTTTCTCGTCAAAGAACACAGAAGCGGACTGGTTTTGTTCCTTGGTCAAGTCATGGATCCTTCTATGCATTAATTTGTGTCCAAAGTCTCCGAACTATACAATTTTTACGTACGCCCTCTTGACATAGTAGACTTTTTTTTTTTTTTTAATCCTCGCTGGTTTTAATTTTGGAAGAATATTTGATTTTTAGAACTTTCTAGTTATCTTATAGAGCTTTATGCCTTTATTTACAGGGTTCATTTTTATCCAATGCTTTTTATTTCGGATGCTTCAAGTGGATATATCATTTTCAATTTGTTTGTTTAGTACTTAATATTTTCTATTAATTGAGCTGTCACATATTCTACTAAAATCTTTAAATGGAGAGGATAAAAGAAAGAGAAAAACATAACTTTTATTTTATTTTTTTAGTTATAACAAAACACAACGTAGTTGTCATAATTTTTCCTAAACCAAATGGTTTATCGATAACAAGACACTACGTGTGATGCAAGCTACTGTATCAACTTCATCAGCCAATTGATGAAATTTAAACGGTCTGAATTACTTACGAAAGCATTGGCTACATAAAGTATCTTCAATGATCCACAAAAACATGAAATGGAAAAGTTAAGTATGTGACATTCACTATGATATGATTTTGTTCTTACACATAAAATGTAAAAAGAGTCTAGCCCAGCCCTGGTTCTTAGATACTACCGGATACTTTGCAATCTTCTAGTAGATTAAGCAAGTCGTGTTCGGGCGCACTGAGCGAAGGCAAGATCAGACGGTTAGTATTGCATAGGCTAGTCCGTGATGGAATTGTCACAGAAACATCAGATTCTTCATCCATCCCATCTTGCACGATCGCCAAATCACCTCGTCTCCTCATCGAAGAAGCCGTCACTCTCTCTTTCCAGAGTCTCCCGTCCTGTGATCATAAAAAGAGAGAGAGAGATAGTAAAGCACAATACAGAAACCAACTTTTTTTATTTTTCTTTTCTTGGAATTTTTTCAAGAATCATACATTGAGAATGGACGGCTCGGGGAGTGGACACTGGATTGGTTGATCATTGTCTAAGGGCTCCATTGGGTGATCGACCGGTTTAAACTCTGTTTCTACTTCGATCCCATGAGTTGAGACGTTTGAGGTGTTAGTTGAAGCAACAAGATCAGATCTTGGAGGCAATGTTTCCCTACCATCCTTGATCATATATAAGACAAGGTTCATGTCAACTGTATAGCTAGAAACCAAATTTATGGACGTAAAAGAAGCAAACACTTACTTATCAAGAAAAATATAGGATCTCAGATTCAAATATAGCTTGTAAACAGTTAAAGAGATAACTTATTTTTCTGGAGAGCTTAATAAACAAATACAAAAAAGAACCATCATACTCTAAGAAGGAATCTTTATAAACATAAAGCTCAAGCACGAATATAACATAACAAGATCCCCTGTTCCATATAACCTCTACTGGAATCAGACAAGCAAATAGAAAAGAGAGCTTACGATGGCACTCTGTGTTCTTCTATGGCTGCCTCTAACAACGGAAAATCTTGAGAAAATACCAACCATGCTGTTAAATTCGATTTTCACAATATTACTTGGATGAATCCTTCCTCCGTAATTGATCTTAACTTTGAATATTTCAAGATGAAAGAGACACAAAAGAAACAGTAGAAGAAAAGAAACTTGTCCTGAAGACGAAGAGTATAGATTCTCCAAAGCAGAAGACGAAAAAGCAGAGAGAGCCAACAACAAATATGGCTTCTTGAAATCTATAAGAATATAGCAGTAGTGGACTTTCTCAGCTTTAAAGCCTTTAAGCTTTGCTTGGAATGAACATATTCTCTCTCTGTTATTATTATGGCTTCTTTCTTTTGGTCTCCTCAAGTTTTATTTTCTTACTTCCAACTTTGAAAAATATATGCAAGTTGTACTATTATTGATTGATGATTCATCGCCTTATAGAAAATGAAATAAATTCCCTTATTGGAAAATGACAAAATTTTCTGGTTCAGCTAATATTGTTCTTTTCAAATTAAAGTAATTTATTCAATTCACAACCAGAAAGCTACAAAAAATCAACTGTAATAGACGGATTATTTATTTAATATGACTATAATAAGATTAATTAAGTTATTTTAAACCGGCTTAATGTTGTAGTGTACGTATATCTAGGTAGTAACTAATTTGTCGTTTTTCTTTTTTTTTTTCTTGATTGGGACTTTGGGAGTATTAGAATATAAGTGAATAACTAATTCAAGGGAAACAAACAATAGAAAGAATATTATTCTAATCATCTAATGCTACGTAGTCAAATCCCGATTTACTTATTTAATTTCTTATTTATTATCCTAAACCTTACCTAAATCTCCCCTAACCTTTTGGTCTGTTGTGAACTTTTTGCTCTGTTGAGAATCATCAAAGACCATTCGACATAAAAATGTTTTTTTGAGTCCTTAAGTTTACTATATATCCATCCTTGCCCAAGATCAGTCGAAAGCACCGTACCATCAGAGCCAGCAGTAGTGGCAAAAATGCCATATATGCACCTTATAAAAATACACAGCTCAAACTATAAAGTTATCCCTCACCATTTTGTTTTACAATCTAATACTATAGTTTCAAGCTGTTGAAGGTTCAAGACGACTACATAAGAAATAGTATATTTTACAATCTTAGTTTAAGAAACAACCAAAGCCATGGAGCTCAAAATTTATAAGATAGTTGAAATCCTTTGATATAACTCATCTCCATCCATCTGTCATTTGAATGTGAAGTTTTTTTTGGATCTCCAAAGCCAAACAGTTTTATCAGCAAACAAATCTAAGAGGATGTTATTGGTTTATGATTTCAATAGAATTTTAATGACTTTACATGTTATTTAAATTTTGTTGTTATACATTCAAGACTTTGTTAAATTCTTGTAAAGTTTGTTGTTATTAGTTCGTGATATGTAAAAAAAATCATTTAAAATCTTAATAAATATGTAGTTATTGGAATCATAATTTTATAAAATCAATAAAAGTTTTATGTTATTCAACTAAAAGTAAAAGAATCCAGGATTGTTAATGAATTTAATTATTATGTTATTGGTTTATGATTTTATACATTTTCTTCACAAAATAAAGTCATACAAATATGATGTAAAAAAAAAATAGTCATAAAAATAGAAAAATTGCTTTGGGAGACTTTACAAGATTATAGAAAAAATAGACTATAGAAAACTCTCTAGCAATCCTTTACAATCTATAACTTAAGGGGGGTTATTGGGAGATTGATTTTAAAAGAGTTTGTGGATTTCAAAAGTTTAGAAATTTTAAGATTCTAGAAAAGATTTGTTGATTCTAAAATAATGTTTACCCAGACTTTTAGGGCGGGTTATTGGGAGAATGACTTTTAAAGATTTTTAGAGTTTAAGATTCTATTGTTATTGGTGTACGGATTATTAGATTCTTAATAAAATCTCTTGTTATTGGTGTATGTATTTTGTAATTCTATTTAAAATCCTTTGTTATTCAAAAAGTTGAGTATTTATTGATTTTCCAATTCTATCAAATTCTAGTGTTATTGGTTTAATGATTCCTTACATATTTAGTCATTAAAAACAACTTTCAAAATACTGCAATTATCATAAGGATTTGTAAAGTCTATCATATGAAGAATCTATTAAACTCTAAAAATCTGGGTGAACATTATTTTAGAATCAACAAATTTTTTAAGAATCTTAAAATCTCTAAACTTTTGAAATCCACAAACTCTTTTAAAATCAATCTCCCAATAACTCCCCCTTAGAGTTTAATAGATTCTTCATATGAGAGATTCTACAAATCCTTATGATAATTGCAGTATTTTGAAAGTTGTTTTTAATGACTAAATAGGTAAGGAATCATTAAACCAATAACACTAGAATTTGATAGAATTGGAAATCAATAAATACTTAACTTTTTGAATAACAAAGGATTTTAAATAGAATTACAAAATACATACACCAATAACAAGAGATTTTATTAAGAATCTAAGAATCCGTACACCAATAACAATAGAATCTTAAACTCTAAAAATCTTTAAAAGTCATTCTCCCAATAACCCCCTCTTATTCAATTTCTATGATTTTATTGACATCATCACAATTCTTTTAATTATTATTAGGATATACAGTATTCTTTTTTTTTAATGTTAAGAAGAAAAAAAAGGAAAGAAATCAATCAAACCAAACAAATGAGGTAAAATCAATCATTATGTAAATTAGATCAATGACAAAAAAAAAAGAGGAAATAGAGTAGAAATTAGAAGTGAAAGTATTTGGAAATATATAATTATAATAACTCTATAAATAGGGTTATTGTGTTGAGAGGTTTGTTCAACACACATACGTAAAAAGAACAGAGGAGAAAGAAGAAGTGGTTTCAGAGAGAATCCAAATTGGTCAAACTTACTCACCGTAAAAAACAATGGGACTGCAAAAATCAGTAGGGAGACAAAACGACATCGTTCTGAGGTTGGCTCAGCACGTGATCGCCACCACCGCCGCAAAAACCTCCAACCTTGTCTTCTCTCCGGCGTTAATCAACGTCATCCTCAGCTTTATCGCTGCCAGATCTCCCGGAGCCACCGCAGACAAGATTCTTTCTTTACTTCAGGCATCTTCGACGGATAAGCTTAACGCCGTCTCCTCTGAGATCGTCACCGCCGTCCTCGCCGATAGCACCGCCACTGGCGGACCGATGATCTTGGCAGCTAATGGCGTCTGGATCGACAAGACTCTCTCTGTCGAACCTTCTTTTAAGGATCTCCTGGAGAATTCGTATAAAGCTGCTTTCAATCGAGTTGACTTCCGCACCAAGGTACGTCTTCTTTGATCCAAATAAACCTAACTACTCTATAGAGATTATACTATACTAACATTTACGTGCTTAGACGATGTAACATAGTGACTGAAATGCTTATACGTAACATAGTAACATGCTTAGACGTTTCCCTAATGAGATTTAGACAAAAGGCTTTTGTGTAAAAATCATATTAGAGATGCTAGTGTAACCTAATTCCCTTACATCTTCTCCAAATTTATATCTCCGTCAGTTCAACCTGTATATGAATATGATCATTAGGCAAACAACTTGGCTAAATTACTGGTTTATATATAGAATTACATACTAGGGATTATATAGAATACTAACATGTTACGATGATTAGTCAAGTCACAAGGTTTAATTGGTGAAATCAAATCACAGGTGTTGATAGATTTTTCTGTTTGTTTCTTTTTAAAAGGCTGATGAAGTGACAGAAGAGGTGAATTCATGGGTAGAAGATCAGACAAATGGACTCATCACTAATCTCCTTGCACCAAACTCTGCTTCTCCTCTGACTGATGTCATATTTGCTAATGCCTTGTTCTTCAACGGAAGATGGGATAAAAAATTCGATCCATCTCTAACAAAAGATTCCGACTTTCACCTTCTTGATGGAACCAAAGTACGTGTGCCCTTCATGACCCGTGACACCTTCGGATTCCATCTCGATGTATACGAAGGTTTCAAAGTCCTCAATCTACCGTACAGAGAAGGAAGTGATGAAGAAGACTGTCGTTATTTCTTGATGCAAATCTATCTCCCTGATGAGAAAGATGGGTTGCCTGCAATGCTGGAGAGACTAGCTTCTACCCCTGGATTCTTGAATGACAAAGAGACCATTCCTAACCACTGGGCGGATATCAAAGAACTCAAGATTCCAAGGTTTAAATTTGATTCTGATTTCGAAGCCTCTGAAGCTCTCAAGGCTTTGGGTTTGGAGGTGCCATTGTCCAAGATCATCCACAAGTCTTACATCGAGGTTGATGAAGTGGGGTCGAAAGCTGCAGCTGCTGCCGCAGTAATTGGTATTGGCTGTTGTGGTCCTGCCCCAGAGAAGTATGACTTCGTGGCTGATCATCCTTTCCTCTTCCTCGTCAAAGAATACAGAAGCGGACTGGTTTTGTTCCTTGGTCAAGTTACTGATCCTTCTCTGCATTGATTCTTAAGGCCAAATTAAAGTCTTGTTATGCATTACTATTAACTTCGCTTTAGTCCTAAATCTTTTTTTTTTCTTTTTTTTTCTTTCTCTCTTTAATAGACCACCTCCATCCATTAAAACCCTTTAAATAGTCGTTGGACCTCGGGGTCAAGCCACTAGTTTTATTTATTTATTAAATTGGTATGTTTTTGCTGAATTTGACTTGATTTATAATATGCTGACCAAATTTGACTGACATGCAAAATTGTTTTGGGGCCAATTTCGTGAATACTGCTTCCCGACTCTGTAGCAAAATTCAAGGGTTTTACGTTGGAAGTTGCAAGTGGTTGTGCTAGAAACTAACGAATTATTACTAGAATGATAACTAAGATAAGAATCTTAACTCTGTGATTCAACTAACCTTAACTCTGTGATTCGACTAACCATCATTTCATTTACGACATGAACTTCACCAATCGTCAAACTAAACTATTCGGGTCATGAAGCCTCATCGAAGATTATGTGTCTTTGTAGATACTCAACTGCCTATGTTGTAACAAGTGATCCTCAATGTCTTCTAATCTACAAGGAGATGCTGGCAGCAATTGATGTAATCTCTGAAAGTTCATTAGCCGGGGTACGAACCATGTCCTCTTTTTTATATAATTTCGGATCAGTTGACACCTGGCTGCTAACTGAGTTTCTTACTGCAGATCTTCTACTTTCTTTGTCTGTGGGATCTTCTAATAATATGATACTACTCTACTAGTTTTATTATATGTATATCTACAAACAACCTATTATTACCCAAGTTCATGCCTTTATGTGTATTCACCAGTGTTGGGATTTTTGCAGAATATATATACCTCTATTTCAGAGGAAATAGATAAAAGGATAGAGCAAATACAGTACTCCCAATATACAGCCTCGTAGAAGGTTTGATCATACCATCTTACTACCAATGCAATTGCCGTTGTGCCATTGTCTGCGATAGAACTCTATTGTATAGTTTTGTGTAGTGTTGTACTGTTAAAAGTCGTAGTGGCAAAAGAGATAATGTGTTGTATTAAGTTTATGATTCAACATTTTGGGGGTAAAATGTAGAAAGATTATGTTTCCAGTGTCATATCTGTTTTGGAGTGTGATAATTTTAACCGATGGCCAAATGCACTGATAAAACCATCTTTGCTTTTATGGCCAAAAGAGCCAACTTGCAAGGAGGAATGAGCAGAAATATACCAATTTGCTGAATCGAAAGAACCTTAGTTAAACTTAATCGATCCACGAAGTCTCCTACTTTTAAGGCACCCTAGAGAGAATTCATGTTCAAATTCAACCAAACATCTTTGCAGTACCAAAAAACATTCCACCTAAAGAAAAAATAAGTGTCGTCCTATTGATCATAGACACTGAATCTTCTTTATGTTTTCATAGCCACTGCGGAACATATATACTAAAAGGCTGAGACTGTAAAAGAACCTACAAGGAGACCACAAAAGCTAATACTGTATCTAAAACCAAACTCAACTAATGAAACTGACTACTTGATGGTCACAAACTTGTTAGTACCGTGTCTGGCCCAATGGTTCTTGAGATCAACAGGGTGAGAGAGATTATAGCCTTCGCCAGCAAGCCTCACAAGGAGTTTGACATAAGCACCATTGCTCATTTTTCTTCCAGCAAGACGAGCTCCGGGTCTTGTGGTGCTCATAGGTAGTGGGTATGTCGATATGCTGATGGTACAACATGAGGATTGCCAACCGCCCATGCCCCATTTGTAGCAAACCCTTGAAACGCCTGTACATGAACATACAGGAGGAGGAACCTCGGAAGTATCGAAGCTTGAAATGTCAATGTTGATGTCCAGATTCTTTTTCTCACGTTTTGTTTCTGGTATGCTCGGTGTTTTCTTTGATTTGTCTGATGTAGCACGTTTCTTCCTTGGCGTTTTTGGCTTCAGAGCTTTCGAAAGAGACTGATTTGTGGACTTCTGTTCCACGGATTCCACACCGTTTCTGTAATCTACAGTGATAGGATGAGACAAACGAGACTGAGGCACCATCATACTTTCAACAGGACTTGCTTGAGATACTTGAGAAAGATCAACCCCTGTGGTATTTGGAACGGCGATATAGGAATGAAACCAATTAGCATTAGACGTACGCAAGCCTGCGTCCTTGTTTGCCTTTGAAGCAGACAACATCAGGTTTTGTGAAGGAAATGAATTCATCTTGATAGCAAGTTTCAGTGGAGAGAGATCACACGCTCACGTTGCTGTTCCTACATCATTTAAAAAGCAGATAAGATAAGCCAACATTTCCAATCAACAGCTGAAACTTACATTATAATAAGCAAGACATAGATCCACCAGCAAGAGAGCTACATGCTCTTTACAATGCCTTTAATAGGGATATTACAGAGAACATAATCTTTAGTTTTCTTCCGGGAAAATTACTCAGTTACAAAGGTTTTACAAGACATAATCTGATATGTATATGCCTAATTAAGCACACATACTTGATCATTGAAAACCCAGATAATCAGACCACAGTTATACACATCTAAAGCTTATAGATTACACACGTAGAGGAGAAAAGTTTCTGCTTTTTAGATTGTTTTGAGTGAAAATTGGAAAACCCAAAAGAGTTCACGAAAGAAGAATCAAGACCCATAAGCGGAAAATCTTAACTCGCAGCTATAAACCATGCAAAATCAAAACCTTTGACTAGGATTCCATAAGAATCATAGCCAGAAACAGAGTCGAAACGAAAAAAAGAGTGATCTTTCGGCGCAAACAAGAAAAACGTCAGACTTACCAGTGGTGTGATACACTTCACCTCTACGCTCGCTCCACTCCGCGCACTTTCTCTCAAGACCTTTGGTGGACAAAGTAATTATTTTTTAGGTTTTAAGAATTTCTAGGGCTCACCGAACTTTAATTAAAATCCGTTTCCTTTGCCCCATAATGTAATATATAAAATTAAATGTTGGTAATTTAGGTTTTGCCACTGCGATTTTTCTTGAGAAATTTGGTAATATGTATAACGCTATTTTATTTTGAGCTTATCTTTTGCAATTTATAAACTTGTGGAAAAGCCTTTGGGCACTTGTGACATTTAGTGTGTACATATAGGTTTGGCAATATACAACTAATGAACTTAATAACATAGTTTCTAAACTAAAATTATTAAATTAGACAAATATTGACATGAAGTGTTTGTTTCTCTTTGTCACGATGATGAGAAACAGACACAGAAACATAAACAAAAATTGTCTATTCATTAAGTGGCAGAAACCAAATCAGGAGGAACAGAAGCAAGGTCAAGCACCCAACACTCTTTCAGGTCAGCTCCAGATTCATCTTCAGGCAGCTTCTTGGCCGGAATCTGATGAGAGAGCAAGGCCGTAACATCGTCTTTCTCGATCCACTTGACTGCATTATACCCGTAATCCCGTCTCTTGAACAAGTTGCTACAGTCGTTGACCTTCTCCAAATATGCCACACTCAAGCCATATGCATCGGTATACATCGTCAAGCACACAACAATCTCATAGCGTCTGGTCTTTCTTCTCTGAAGAGCTGGATTCGTCTCTGAGTAGACGGCCCAAACAGAGCCTTTCCTGGGATATATTTGGTATACTTCTCGTGCAGCCCTTTCGCAGTTGACAATGTGAGAGAATGGTTTCACTTGTTCAACCAAAGCTTTCACTGAAACTCGGAACCTCCCACAAGGCATATGAGAACTGATCTTCATCCAAGAGATCAGTTTCTCGCTCTCAAAATCCAACCAGCTGATCCATACCTTAAAAGGGTTCAAAGAAACCACTTCATTGACCAAACAGTAACTCCGAGGCATATTTTCATCACCACCATCATATATCGCCCAAATCTGCCCTTTCTTGAAGCTCCTCGGCATCCTGTCCTTATCAAAATCATATAGTTCGAAATCCTCGTCTTCCCTGTACATTTCTTGGCTTAATTTACCATGATTCCTCTTCCTTTCAACCCGTGGCACATATCCTAAATCTACTATCTCAGTTAACACCTTGTGGTTAGTCGTCGGCTTCTTTTTTATGTTCTTCCTATTCTTTGAAGCTTCTCGTTTTTCATTCTCCTTGGTAGTCCTCATCTCCCTCAAAGTCTCAGTCATGGGGACATCACCTGAAGATCGCTCCTGTGTTTCCCTTCCCATGTTTTCTTCTCCAGTACTATCGTTCTTAGTGATCTTTGGCTTCTCCTTTGATTTTTTTCTCCTGATCACCGATTGCATTTCTGCCAAAGTCATCATCCCTTCATCTTCTACATCCAACACGTCAGATACATTCATAGTTTCTGCTCTTTCCTCTCTCATCTTCTCTGTCTCACTCCCTCTTCTAAGACTTTCACTATCGTCACCAGAGCGCTTCTTCCTCCTACTATATGTTATTATCTTGGAAGCACAAGTTCCAGTCTCACTTCTATCTCCACCCTCTTCTTCCTTCTCAGCTTCCTTTGCCTCAAAACTATTCTTACAAGCAGGACACATCAAATTTTGCCCTAAATACTTCCTACCAAACTTATGCACCGAGCTACAACCCGAACATACTGTTGAAAATGTCGACGTTTCATCATCATCATCACAACCACCGCTACCCATTTCCCCCTGAATCCTAATCCTCAACTTCATATCATACTCAGTCCTTCTAACCTTATCAGAGAAAACCCTAAAAGCCTCATTCAAAAGCTTAAATCCTTCCTCGCACCCCGCGTACGGATTCTTATCAGGATGCAACACTAAAGCTAGCTTCCTATACTGTTGTTTTATGGTATTGATATGAGAGAAAGGCTCTACCTTTAGAACCTTATACCATTCCGGCAGACCTCCTGCGGTGTCGGCGGCAGAGATGATGATCTCGAAAGCAGTGACCATGGCGGAGAAACCTTCCGTGTTCGGAGACAAGCTGAGAGCTTTCCGCGCATGATTCAGGGCCGACATAAAATCACCGGAAGTAAAACTCGATTCCGCTAGGGTTTTGTGGTGCATTGCTTCCTTTTCATTATCTGACTCTGATTCCGATGCCATTGCAGTGTAGACGGAGACGCAAGACACGGAGAGACGCCTTCAAAAGGAGCTCCGACTTTGAAAGAGGGCTAAAGGGAGCTCTCTGAGTTTATTCTTTCTTTGATTCCTCACCCTAGTCTTTTTATTATTTTTCTTTCTTACCCTCTTATTTCTTGAAAAACTCTCTTGTGTCTAATAGTTTTTTTTGTGAAGTTACACAAGATTTTGGTATTAAATGTGTCTAATAGTGTTACATTGAAAATATATATATTTTTTTTTTAAATTAGAAAACCTTTGAAATATGAATATGAAAAAATACTTTGGAAATCTAATGCATAAGCTTATTGTTCATAACATTTTCAAAATACACTTTGGAAATCTACTTTTTCCGTGTATTTACTTACTATTTAGGAACTTACAAGAGAGAAGATACCTTTTTTTTTGTTCAATCGAGGAAAAATATCTACTTATTAATTTTGTCAATTTGTGTGGGTTACAAACCTATTGAGAGGCTTAACATGGGTAAAGTTAATAAATAAGATATAAAGAAGGGGTTTTTATAAAAACACTTAATTTAGACAAAGAAGCAATTTTTCTTCCTCGTGAACTCCACGCCCCCTTTCTTCTCCGTCAGAAAACACAAAACAATCAGCCAATTTTTCTTGGTCAAGACATTGAATGTCTCAATCTCTGCAAAATTGAGCTCGGAGATTCAGACAGCATCTCAAGTTTGTGCTCTGAGTTTTCAGACATTTTCCAGTCCTTAGGTATTTTCTGTCACACCTTTAAGTTTGTATATTTGGAGTTAGATTTTGGCGTTTCTGTTCTGAATTCAATTGAGTTTTCTAGGGTTTCTGTTGACACTGCTGGCTTTTGTGGTATCGTGTCTCCCGGCACCGACATTGTTACCTGTTTCTGCACTAAGCATTTTAGCTGTTGAATTATCAATAGTGTATTGGTCAACGATCAGTAGGAGAAGTTTGGAACCAAATCTCGAACATCTTATTAGCTGAAATGTTGAATTGTTGGATGTGATTGGGTTACACATGAGTAGATCTTGTCGTGAGTGAGCTTATTATAGCTGACTTTTGTCTCGCAGGAAGCTCTCAAGGGTTGTTTTTAGAAACTAGGGAACGTGATAATGGCTAGCAGCGAGAATATTGAGAAATCGAGTAAGGAGAAGGAACCTAAAACACCGCCTTCTTCTTCTGCTGCTCCTCCCGCTTCACAGGTTTGCATTTGCCCCCTCCTCTGCTTCCAATTTTTTTAAAGATGACCCTTATATATAAAAAAAAGGATAACAAATCCCATGACTTAAGGTATCAGAAGCCAGAATTAGAAGTAAGATACTAGAAAGGAAATATAAATATTTTCAAAAACTAAATTTCAGCTAATCGTGATTTTGTTTCCCTATCAGTCATATGTTATAGTTGGAATATTCTGTGTTTGTAGGAACCTTCGTCTGCTGTGAGTGCTGGCATGGCTACTCCAGATTGGACTGGTTTTCAGGTCTAAAACATATTCCTCTGTCTATTGATCTGTGGTCTGTTTAGCTGTTTTCTATGGATGTGATAATTATGGATTTCTTTTTGACAGGCATATTCTCCTATGCCGCCACCTCATGGTTATGTGGCTTCAAGTCCCCAACCTCACCCTTATATGTGGGGAGTTCAGGTAAACTGGCTTATATTTATCGTTTTTTATCAGTGATATCGATTTTCAGATGCTGGATAGTTGCAAATGACTTATTGACTTTTCTTTTTTGGAATTATTGGTGGGGGTTTATTATCCTTGAGTTAATACTTGCATTTGAAATTGATACTTGCATGCTTGGGGAATCGGTCTTGTTCGGAGTCAAGATTTACCCCTATTCAAAAAAAAAATTAGTTCAGCTCTTTATCATCGTAGCTTTGATTTATTGCTGAGTGCGTTATCTACTTTTACAGCATATGATGCCTCCTTATGGAACTCCGCCTCATCCGTATGTTGCAATGTATCCCCCTGGTGGCATGTATGCACATCCTTCAATGCCTCCGGTACTACCATTGATATTTGATATGAAATAGACGGGTATTGAAATGGTGGCTGCTAATCATATCTTTAACATGTTCTATTCTGTATCAGGGTTCTTATCCATATAGCCCTTATGCTATGCCTTCTCCAAATGGAATGACCGAAGCTTCTGTGAGTTTGCGTCCCATAATTTTTCGTTGTGTGTTCCGCAAATGGTCTTTGCTACCTTTGTTTATTGTAGGATCATAACTGAGAGATGATTATATCCAGGGCAATAGTACAGGCGGCACTGAGGGTGATGGTAAGCAATCTGAAGTGAAGGAAAAATTACCCATCAAAAGATCAAGGGGAAGCTTGGGAAGCTTGAACATGATTACAGGAAAGAACAATGAACCTGGGAAAAACTCGGGAGCAGCAGCTAATGGAGCTTACTCAAAAAGGCATGTAACATGCTTGTTTTTATCCAGTTTATTGGACACATGGTTTCTATCATAGGATTTTGATTATGTATGGGCTAGGACCTCTTCTGGACTTATGCTTTGCTTCATTATATAATATTCATTCCCTGATTTCTCTAAGATTGTTAGAATTTTTTGGTTTCAGTGGGGAGAGTGCTTCTGATGGTTCAAGTGAAGGAAGTGACGGAAACTCTCAAAATGTAAGTTTTGGAAAGCTATCAGCATCCTTTTTTAGCATTTTTTTTGTCGGTATGCATTCATTCTGGCAACCATGTTGAGATGAGGCACTGTTTCATGGAAATTATTTAGTTTGTCGACTCTGCAACTGGGAAATTAACAAATTTGTACGCTAAGAACCCAGCATGAATCTGAAATTAGATTGACCTATTCATTTCCTTGGATTTTTAAATTCCGTGAATGTCGCTTGCACTTGTGATATGCACATTACCATACTAAACCTATCAGTTTACACCTTCACTTATAGTCGGGGTTGAAAAGTCTTAGGGAAATTCCCTCTGCCTATAAGAGTGAAGAGTTCCCATGATAATTATGACAGTGGTTCTGATTTACTTTGCAATCCTTGTAGGACTCAGGATCTGGACAAGACGGAAAGGATGGTTTGTATATGATACTCTCTTTTTCCTTTCATTACTATCATGTGACTCAACATCGAGAAAGCTGCTAACCGGAGAGTGCTTTATTGTTTTGCAATTCAACTGAAGCAGCATCTGAGAATGGTGGTACTGCTAATGGTCCCCGAAATGGAAGTGTTGGTACACCTCTTCTACCGGTGAGTCAGACCGTGCCAATAATGCCAATGACAGCTGCAGGTGTTCCAGGTCCACCAACAAATTTAAATATTGGGATGGATTATTGGGGTGCGCCTACTTCATCTGCTATCCCTGGAATGCATGGGAAAGTATCTACACCAGTTCCTGGAGTTGTTGCTCCAGTCTCGCGAGATGGTGGTCATTCACAACCCTGGTTACAGGTTTGTGCCCACCTTTCTTCCCGAATTTCTACTCAAATTCAAATTGCTTTTGTCCTCAAACTCGGAGTTGTTTGTCTTATAATTAGGACGATAGAGAACTTAAGCGACAGAGACGGAAGCAGTCCAATAGGGAGTCTGCACGAAGATCCAGGTTGCGTAAACAGGTACTAAACATCCCTTAGATTGCTTGTGAACAAAAATTATTGACACTGAAGAAGTTTTTGTGGTCCAGGCCGAATGTGATGAGCTGGCCCAACGCGCTGAGGTGTTGAATGAAGAAAACACAAATCTCAGAGCAGAAATCAACAAGCTCAAAAGCCAATGCGAAGAGCTCAGCGCTGAGAACACCTCTCTTAAGGTAAAGAAAGTAAACTTTGCCCCCCCCCCCCCCCAACTTTACATCAGACACAGTCAGTGAAACTCTCATTTCCTCTATTCTTTGTTGTTGCAGGACCAACTTTTATTATTCCCTCCACTTGAAGGCATGAACATGGAAAAAGACGGCCAAGGACCAGACACCGATCAAACAGGTGGCGAAGAGCGAAAGGTTGATTGTTACAAAGACTCAACGTGAAAAAGACATACAGCAAAATCAATTCCTAACACAGGTATAAAAAGTAGCAGCAGCAGCAACAACAACCTCCGTGGTTCATTGCTAACACATGGTTGTAGGATTTTAGATTTTCAGAGATCGATTGGTTCGGAATAGCTCTTTAGCTTTCTTGAGGGTTGCGGTCCAGTGTGTGTGTATGTTACTAAATTAGATTTTGGGAGAAAAATTTCCCTTCTTTTAATGGTTTACTACTTGCAGAAGTGAATTATAGGCAATGTGCTTCTCTGTATCAAATTTTTACCCTTTTCTTTTTGTTTTATTAGATTTTTTCGATTTGTTTTTCTTGAGCGTCACTTGATGGATGTGTTTGTTTATCTTAAGTGTGCAAACATTAACAAATGAAGTTAGTAAGCTGAGCATTTATGTATGCTGGTGAATGGTGATGTGCTTAGTCATGCCTCAGAAGCTTCAATCATAATTAGATTTCATTTCGATTCTTGAATCATTTTTTTCTGTCACTTTTGCGTGGATGTTAAAAGTGGCCGTGGGGTTGGCTTTATCACTCAGAAAATCGGATTAACAAAGCAAGCTCTATACATAAAGACTAAGATGTTGCTCCGATAAATTTCAAATGTCTGAACTAGATTTTGTAAAGTGTGAAAGAAACTGTAGTAATTGTTCTAAAAAAGCTCATGAGATAGATTAAGTCCAGAAGAGGGGTTATCCGAGGAAGTTTATGATGATCAGGTGGAGGACTATGTTGCAGAGAACAAAATCAGCAAAAGCTCGCTCTGGTGCTAAATCCTGCAATATACAGAAGGAATGTAAATATGAATACCTGTCTTCTGAGGACACATTGTGGAAGCCCTAATGGATTGCTGTAGAGTTTACCTTAAATTCCTTGTTTTCTTTGTTCACTTGAATCCGGAGGCAGACTAAAACGTGTGAAATAGATTGTTATCTCAGTATCCAGATAGAAAACAATCTTGTATGTTACGGAAAACACATTAAACTCACCAGCAAGAACTGCTGTTCCGATACAGGAGAGAACTCCTGAGAGAAATGAGTTGAAAGGAAACGATCCAACAAGAGCCATGTAAGCAACCTGCTCAATCACAGAATTCAACACACTTAAACCCGATTCTTTAATAAGAAAAACAGAGAATCAACACTGTTTATCAAGAAACTCCGTGGAATCTACATGAATCAAGAATTAAGCAACAAGAGATGGTTAGTTTCTTGACTTCAATAGCTTGTGCTCTTATATTGTAAATAAATAAAAAACAGAGCAAACATGGCAACAACAAAGAAATGGATGCTATAAAAATGAACCCACATTGGAAATCAAGTATATTAAACTGGAGTGTCTTTTCTAGTTGAACCGTGAAGTTCATAGATAACATTTCTGAATCCACATATCAATACAATCGAAACAATGTCGATAAACCCAAAGATTTATGATTTCAACCAAATTCTCGTAGCTTATGAAAATTACAACTCATAAAATCTGGTATCACCATACATCTACGAATCAAAAAGCAGGGATCTAGAGCCACAGTTGAAGCAGGGAAGGAGTTTTAGAGTACCTGGATCAAAGCTGTGAAGACCGCGAAACAAACATACATGTCGATGAGCTGAGAAAACGAATTCAAACAAGATACATTAAGGTGATCCCAATTACAAACCAAATCCGACAAATATCTAATGATGATCCATCTATACAAGACAAGATCAGAACGAGATGAGAATGGTAAACCTTGAGATTCGTTGGCGTAGCAACATAAGCAGAACGAAGAGAGCGGAAGAGATCCTGAGCATCCTTCGTGGTCGATTTCACCATTTCTTCCGAGAGCTAACAACAACAACAACAACACACCACTCTCGTGCTTCTTCTTCGCGACTCGAGAGTCTGGCTTGATTAGCTAATAAAAACGGGCTTTCATTGTTTGGGCCGAAGCCCATACTAGTCTAAATTTTTAAAACGGTGCTGTTTATTATTTCATAGAGATACAGGCCGTGTTTGACCGGGTCAGAGGTGATGATACATCAGAATTGGGCTTTGACGTACAAAAAAAAAGAAGTGAAGAAACATGTAAATTTGTGTGTATTGTATGCCTAAACGATTAGCTTTTTGTCAAAGAGTAGACAGACAAATCCCCAGGACCGCCGACTTAGATTATTTCGCCGCAGAGAATAAAGTATATATATATATATATATATTTATATAAATGGCTCGTCTTCTTCTTCTTCTTCTTCCAAACAGTAGTTTCTTCATCGTCGCCGGTTTAGGGTTTTCGTTGTTCCAGCAGTCTTCTCTGACCTTTGTCTCCTAGTTTGCTCTTTCAGAAAGCCCTTGCCTTGCGATCAATCTACAGAGTTTGATAAGGTTTTGGCTAAATGTTCGTTTTTTTAGTTTATATGTGTTGCTTCTTGATTTTAATCTATGATTATGTGAAATTATGTGTTGCTCTTTTAGTCGAAATTGTTTTGTTCTTATTTTGGGGTCAATTCATGGGTTATTGTGTTATAAGCAATTTTTTTTAGGGTTTTCGCAATTAGCTGAAATGTTTAATTTTTAAATTGTTCAATATTTAAATAATAATTAAATGTTCCTGCTTTTGAAAATGTGTTCCGAGTTATGTTCTGCTTTTGTTTAAAGTCTTGTCCGATGACTTGTCTAAGCTTCTGCATAATCTTGTGGACTTTTTGTTATGTATCATGTATTCACCTAGACATGATAAGAGAGCTTTGTCTTGACAGCTTTTGATACCCTTGTTATATGTAAGTTTAAATTTCTAGTTTTTTGGCTTTTCGTACAGACTTGGCATTTGTGAACATCGAAGAAAGCCAGTGACATCTATTCTCTGATCACTTTTATTTCTCCAAGATGAAAACAAATGTATGTATCAGGTGCTACAGCCGGGTAAGTCTTGAGTTTTCTGATGAGTTATTTTATTCTGCAGTTTTGCACGCTTTATGGATTTCTTTGTTCTTGCATGTTTTTTTTACTTCACTGTGTTGTAAGACCCTTTCTATTTCCTCTGTCTTTTGACGGGGTTTATAGCAGTTTCTTTTTGTGATATGGGTTATTGCATGATGCTAGTCTTCTGATTTTATGTTAATCTGTTGAATTATGAGATTATTTCCTTGTGAACCCTTCTTTTGATATTTGTATATGTTTTATTTTATATACAGTCGCTGCAGTTTTGTCTTTCGATATCTGATGCACACTTTTCTTCTTGCAGTTTTACACGATGCTGTTTATGAGTTGCCATCCTTAGGACTTCTAGAGTAGTTGGCTTTCTATTTAAGGTTATAGGTTTAGCGTTGTTACTAAATAGAAATGGAAACCAAAATCGTCAAGGTATCGGATAGTAGTTTTAAAGATGGACTTGGGAAAAAGAGAAAGCATCCGGGGAACTATACTGCATATGATTCTGGAAGGTCATATGCGAAGCTGCAATGTGTGCTCTCACCTAACAGTTCCACCCAAAAGCTTGAGAAAAGGAGAAAACCGGATGGTGAAAACAAAGTTAGTGTTTCTGAGAACCACGTTGGGAAGTCTTTGGTCAGATACTACTCCTATTTTAAGAAGACTGGAGTGCCAAAGCGTGTAATGTTCTATGAGAACGGTGAATGGGTTGATTTGCCTGAGCATATTATTTGCGACATCAAAAATGATCTTGAAGCAAAAAGAGCTGCAATTGAGTTCAAATGGTGCAGTCGCCATTATGTCCTGGATTTCTTGCACATGTATCGACTAGACTTGGAAACCGGTGTAAAAACCCAGCTTGCTTGGATTGATATTGCTGGCAAATGCTTTTTTCCTGAAAGTTATGACAACCTTGAAAGGGACTGCTGCAATCATATCTGTGGGGAAGATCCAGAACGATGTGATCAACGTGAGATCAAGCTGCACCTTCAAATTGATGTCAGTGGTGGGGAGTTACCGAGGCTGAACTTGAATGAGGTCAGTGACGAGTCTGGTGACAATATGGATGATATTCAAGTTTTTCAGAGATCTTCAAATGGGCAAGATGACGAGGCATCAGAGGATAGCTGCAGTCGTGAGCTTGATAATGCTGTTGAGAAATGGGACAAAGCAGAAACTGATCAATTCTCTGGTGTCAAGCCTGCGGAGGAGCAACTTGATAAAGATGCTGTCAAACAAATGTTTGCTCTAGGTACTGCCACTCTAGGGCATGTAGAGTTGCTTGATGTGTATCAGATTTCAAGCGAGATTTCCCAAGCTCGTCTATCTCTTTTCCAGAAGCAAGCTGACATCACTAAGAAACACCGAGGAGATGCGAACATTAGATATGCATGGGTTCCTGCGAAGAAGGGAGTGTTACCTGCAGTTATGATGCATGGACTTGGAGTGGGTGGAGCATTTATTAAAAAGTCTATGTATGGTGTTGGGATTCACTTAAATGCTGCAAACTCCCCTTATTTCAGGTTTTAACTCTCTCCTCTATGCCTGTTGCCCTCTCATTTAACCTGCCTTATGTTATTTTTGTTTTCCAATTTTTAGTTCATTTTTTTTTTGGTTCTCTCTAAGTACATGTGAAAGATATTGTTTACAGTGCTAGATACTGTGATATTGACGAAAATGGTGTGCGGCACATGGTTTTGTGCCGTGTAATAATGGGGAATATGGAGCCTCTTCGTGGTGATAATGCTCAATTCTTTACCGGTGGAGTAGAGTATGATAATGGTGTTGATGATGTCGAGAGTCCGAAGCATTATCTTATCTGGAACATGAATATGAACACTCACATTTACCCAGAATTTGTAGTTAGCTTCAAGCTGTCTGTCCCCAATGCTGAAGGTGATTACAATTTGTTCTTTCTCCCAGATCTCCTTCCAATACTAAACAAAAGTTGCCATAAAATATAATTTTCATCAAAATCAACTGATGACGCATTGAATGGGAGACAGCTTATAGATCTTGCTGAAGATCAGCTTTTTGGATCCTAAAATTTTCCTCTTAGAAAAGGATCCACTTAGTGTCACCTTGTGACCTCTGGGGGTGATAGCACACTTCATCATCCCAATGGTCCAGTGAGATATTCATGGCTAATTTAAATGGGTATTTCGACCATCACATTTTGTTTTCTGCAGTATTCGAAACTGGATGACATGTAATATTTGTGCAGGGAATAAGCTTGCTACTACTCAGAGTAAACACGAGACTTCAGGGCTCTCCGTGGAAGGAACCAAAGGTTCTCCCTCACATGTAAGTTTAATTTTTACCTGAGGAGGTTCCCCTTTTCAAGGAGTCAGTTTGTATATTTGATCGGGACACAAACCAGTAATGTGGCTTGTTTGTATCAAAGCAGGATCCAGGAAGGTTATCAAATGGAGGTTCAGGGAGCGAAAAGAATAGTGCCAGTTCCAGCAGTAAAAGGCCCAGATCTTCCCTGATGCCTTTCCCTTTGCTATTCAATGCAATCTCAAGCAAAATTGCCCAGAAAGACATGGACTTGATTATTGTTGGTTACAAGGAACTTAAGGTAAAGTTTTGAACTATTTCTTTTACCCTTATGTCAAGATTATCAAATTATTTTACTGATTCTATGTGTTGTTGCAGGAGAAGAAGATATCAAGAATGGATTTCTATAAGAAGCTACGAGTGATTGTAGCAGATGATGATCTGCTGAAAGCCACCATAACAGGCCTTCAAAGGAGTTTGGGTTAGAGTAATGTGTCGACTTCTCTTTGCTGTCGTGAAACCTTTATAATTAGATTAAGACAAACCTGACTTGCTCTTTAGGAACTTACTAGTATTGTTATGATTCCTTTTTCTGAAACTAGTCTCCATTGTTCTGATATTCCTTATTTCAAATCAAAGAGTCTTATTTTGATCAACATCTTGGTTCTGTGAAAGGACCCTTTATTCATCAGCTTGAAGCTATTGGCAGTCAAAAACTCAAATCGTCCCATATACAACTTCTTTTACAAAAAAATTTACCAACGACGATGACAACAATATTAAAGATTCATCAAGAAGAAGAGCATGTTTTGAAACTGTTTATGTAAACTGTGGATGAGCTCCGGTGTCAGACGACGGATCCCATCCTGGAGGCTTTATATTGGGCCAATCGCCACGGCACCCCAACCGTATGTACAAACTCTTATTACCTTAAATAGCATAAACGAGACAGTTAAACTCAAAACGTTTACCAGATTAAACCATCAACTTACAAATGGGTTTCTTCTGTCTATTACCTGGAAGTCCCTTGTCTGAGATGATCAGTTGCTTAAGTGCACTCAATGATGCCTGAGCCACGCTCTTGGCATGCGTCGGGTCCCAACCTTGGAGCTTCACCACCACGTCTGCGTTTGAATACCCTATTTCCCTCTCTTGCTTGTTTCGCCTTGCTTCTTCTTTAGCTGATTCTTCATCTGCATTCAGAACCAATCTTGGATGTGTAAGCAATGATTATCAGTCTGTTTCCAAGGGTCACTTCAAAATGAATGTCGAGAGAATATACCTGTGGCTTCAGTCTGTGATACCCAAACAGTAAACCCGGAGTAAAGATGTCTCCACTGATCGGCTCTCCCCGCAGCTCCATGTTTACCTCCCAAAGTTGAGACAACAGTGCGCACATGGCTGCAAAGCCATGTAGATTGGTGGGCAAATTTTAAATATAGTAGCTGAAAACAGATTGAACACTAGATATGACTTTTTACCTGCTCAAGCTTTCCAATACTGAACTCTCTGCTTCAGCTACAGAATCCGGCCCTTCTGCAAGAATCCCTAAAATGGAGAAATATATATGGTCTTGAGAAGGTAGGAACATTTGTTGTAAGACAACGATCATGATCCAAAAGCAGACTCACAAGAATCGATTGTTTGCTTGGAAAAGCTTTCCAGCAACTCCTTTGAGTCTAAAGGACTGTACCTGCACAGATCATATCAACTATATCAGACTCTGAAAAGTTCCTCACAAAAAACTATTCATACTGAGCTCCTGAATGACAGGCTGAGAGGAATCTGAATTCATACCCAAGGCCAACTGCTAGCTCACGAGACACTTTTTGGTTGATTTCAGTTGAATCTCCCACGATGTAGATTGATGCACCTTTAAGAAGTTGCATCATTCCTGCAGTCAAAGATTCCCAAGATTCAACAATATCAGGCCATTTCAATTCCCCATCCACCTTTTTCATGTTCACAACCAACTGATCTTCGTCTATGTACCTGTTCTGGATAAAAACAAAAACTTCAGCCCTCAAATAAAATGTCACACGCTACAAAAAGTCAAAACTAGTCATGTAACACAACATTTACGCGTAGCTAACCATATTGTTTCAGAGGGCATAATCTTCTCAAAGAGCTGGTTAGTCTCTAGAAGTGTAATCAGCAACCCGTTCCGCTTTTCTTTAACGGCTAACGATGTTCCATCTGCGTCTACAGATATATCCTTTGGAGAAAGTATCTCACCAGTCTTCAACCTCAATCTTAACTCCACCTCTTTGCCACCATCCGTGAACTGCATCATATAATCTCAAAACTGATTTCAATTTTACTCTCCTAAATTCTACAGATATATACAAATAAGCATATGATCATTGGTATAACGATTATCAATTGATACGCATTTTTACTACATCATTCTCCAATTTAATCACTGACACTCATACACCAGCAACTAGCGTCGCAGTTGAAATGTAAAACCAGATTGATTCAGAAACCATTTGAATCAAAACAAACCGAGGCGTAAAATGCAGAAACTGACCTCATAATCGATTGTGCTAGTGGATACGGCGGATAAGCAGGTACATGAGAAGCTATTGAACCGATCGGCGGTAACATTCTGAGAGAACCGCCGGGAGCTGCGGCTTTGAATTCCCCTGAAAACGCAAGGTGAGGAGCGTATCCGACTCGGAGAAAATAAGGAAGCTTGACCAGTGATAGGGTTTAGGGAAGGAGAGTAGAAGATTGTAGAAGCCAAAGCAGAAGCAGTAGAAGCAAAAGCAGCCATAGCTGATGATTTCAAACTCTGCTTGGACAAAAGTATTACGCGGATAAGGGAAAGAGACGAATACCGATCGCTTTAATGGGCCTGGGTCAGTAATATTGCCTTCAGTTTTAGGCCCATATATTACTGTGATGAGCCCACGATACATAACGCATGTTTGTTTATATTGTTATTTTCAAGTTTTCTTTAAAAAGAAAAGTTTAAATTTTTCTTTTTTTCCGGGGTCATCTTAATTTCGTGTGATTTCTAAGACTTAAGTAATCTTGTTTTCCGAAATTTTCTCGCAGAGCTCAAAACACACACAGAGAGATCAGCCATGGCTACGCTCTTCACCACCACCGCACGTTCTTCACTTCTCTTTGTTTCATCCGTAAAGCCAAGCAAGAATTTTTCTCCTTCAATCTCCCTAAAACCTAATTCTCTCTCATTCTCTTTTGGTCATCGTCCCAGACCACTCCGGTTTTCTAAAATCCGATCTTCTCTGCCGTCGGAATCCGAATCTGACTCCGACTCCGACTCCGACCTAGAAGTGGCAGAAGTTACAGATGAATGGGGTGAGAAACCCGGAAATGCAAATGAGCCACCCCAATCTCAGCAAGATAATGTGACCGTGAATTTGATTACGGACGAATGGGGCGAGAAATCCGGACCCGAAACTGAGGAATCCGGGTCCCGGTTTGCGGACTCGGATCCTCCAAGGAACGAGGACGAGTGGGAGGAAGATATTGGCGGAGAAACTGAAGCCGACACCGGAAATGGAAGTGCGGTGTCCGATCAGACTTGGGAGCTGAAAAGGTGTTTGGCGGATACGGTATACGGAACTGAATTAGGGTTCCGGGCTGGCTCAGAAGTTCGAGCGGAGTTGTTGGAGCTCGTGAATCAATTGGAAGCTCTGAATCCTACTCCGGCTCCGATAGAGAATCCGGAGCTTCTTGACGGCAACTGGGTTTTGCTGTAAGTCCCTTTACTCCAAATGATCTTGTATTGATGTCGTAGAAACCTTAAATGGTGGCTAGGAATTGCAACACTGTAAGTTGAGAATAGTTTCTGATTCTCCTAATTGAGAATCATTGATGAAGCTAAGTGATGAGTAATGATCCAGGAATTTTCATTATAATGTTGTTCTAATTTTGCGTATCTTCTTGGGTTACGAAACAGGTATACTGCTTTCTCTGAGTTGATTCCTCTACTAGCTGCTGGTTCGACACCTTTGTTGAAAGTGAAAAGCATCAGTCAATCAATAGACTCAAACAATCTCACTATCGACAACGCCACTACACTCTCCAGCCCATTTGCAGACTTCTCATTCAGTGCTTCTGCTTCATTTGAAGTTCGAAGCCCTTCAAGAATTGAGGTAACTAAACTTACAGACACCGTGTTTAGGATACGAATATTGCTTAACCATTAATTGTTTGCACTTTAGGTTTTCGTTAACACTCGATCGAAACTTACCCGCAAAACAAAACTACAGATGTTGAAAGGGTTCCTTTGTAGTTTGAAATTGTTTTGGTACCATCATCTGTTTGTCGTAATGTTTGGTAAATGTTAGGTTTCTTTCAAAGAAGGTACACTAAAACCTCCGGAGATCAAGTCGAGTGTGGATCTCCCTGAGAGTGTGGGCGTCTTTGGGCAGCAGATTAGCCTTTCATTGCTGAAGCAATCTTTGAACCCTTTACAAGATGTGGCAGCAAACATTTCACGGGCACTCTCTGGTCAGCCACCTCTCAAGCTTCCGTTTCCAGGAAACCGAGGCAGCTCGTGGCTCTTGACCACTTATCTCGACAAGGATCTCAGGATTTCAAGAGGAGATGGTGGGCTTTTCGTGCTTGCCAGAGAAGGAAGCTCTCTGCTTGAACTCTGAGATATTTGATAAGGTATATAAAGCAGGCTTTGTTGTAAAAACCATAATCCCTACACTAGAGACCACATCATCATAATAATGCTAAATGCAGATTATTGGACCAGACATATACTTATTTGTTTGTCTCAAAATTAGATAAGTTCAGTTTTGGCTTAAAGTAATAAGAAAGATCCAGGAAAATTGGAGGGCAGATATGAGACGACTAAGTGGATCCAATCGAGAGTGACCATAACATAGATTAGAGAATCCCGAAACTAAATGACTAAATCTGATCTTTTGTTAACGATTACTTGAACCCTGAATACATTTTCTGGTTGTGGTTTTGAAGAAGAACAGGAAGACGGGTTAGTAAAGTAAGTAATATTAGTCACAAGTTTTAGTTCTCCAGGAGATTCTCCGATCATTCGACCGGTTATTAAAAAGCTCACGTAAAGCTAAACAGTTAACAAGTGATGGGCCATTGATGACTTTTGGTGGCTTCATCTCTTCTGCACCATCCACTGCAAAATGTCCTTCCTGATGACACCGTTGAACCCGTCTCTAGCATAAATTGGTTGAATCATACTGGATCCACCAGCACTGTAAGGCCTGTACTGATTGGTAGTTCCAGTTGGTCTCGGCGGCTTGATTATCATCATCGAAGCAATGGGGTATTTGGACCGAAAGTTCCTTAAGGACATGAACAAGTGCCTATCGACCTCACGGTTCTGAGGAGGCTGCGTGTAAACATGCGGCTTGAGACGGGTTGATTCTAATACTCTCTTTGCCTTGTCTATGCTTGGCTCTTTGTGTTTTGGTAGTATAACCTGGGCTGACGGCTTCATACGATCAAGGCCTCGGAGAATCCAGTTTCCTAGATTCCGACCAATTTCCATGTCCCTCTGTTGTATGTTTTTGTGGACCCTAAGAGCCATATCAAAGATTTGATGCGTCCTCCTGCATAAAAGGAAGGTGAGAGATAGAGAGTTAACAAACCAATTCTATCAGTCAAGACTCGAGAATGAAAATCAGTATCATTATCTACTGACTGTATGGCCTTAGCAACAAAAAATCCTTTCCTACTCTAAAAAGCACACCTACTTACAACTTGCATACGTCGGACTAAAATCCAGCAAACACCAAAGGTTCTATCTAATTATCTCTATGAATAAATCCATCAAAATCTGGTGTCACTCATATTCGTAAGCTATGTGTCGAATTACAAGATCATACAACCTCCATTGAGTGGTTTACCTACCAACATAAGCTAGTTCAACAATACCATATCATCTAAATAGAGACTATGCTCCCTCTTGATTATACTTTCTAAATTCGACCTCACGATTGCAACGCTTTAATCATATTTCAGGATTTCATAGTGAGACAAGACTACAACAAATCGAAATCGAAACACATTCAAAGGAAGAGGTTTAATTAGATGTTTCATACCTAGAGATACGACCTCTACTATAAACAAATCAGAACGAAACATCAGTATAAATCAGCATTGTTCAGCTAATGAATATAATCTAAAGTAATCCCACCCCGGTAGCACAAACATACTATCAAAACTACATACATCAGAGAGAACCAACTCGCGAAAATCCCCAAATTAAAAGAAAGAAAAAAGGAGAAGTCGAAGAAACTTCACCGATGCATAAAATCTCGAATCCTGGGATGCTTAGGGCTAATAATGCGACGCTGGGTCTTCAATGCAAGCCGGTACGTCCGCCTAAGCCCCAAAAAGTAGGCTGTTCCCAGAGCTAACTCCCACAACACCATTACTCTCTACAGCTTTCTTCTTCTTCTTCTTCCACTTCGTCACCTTCTTCGTCCTCAACGTATTCGAATATAATCTACAATGTTCATCCGAGAGCCGCCAGAAATTTTAATCTCATTCCCGTCGGAATCACACAGATCGCCGTTTCTAGTTTATATTAGCTTGTTTGCTTGATATGCGATTTAATCGTCTCCGTCCATTTTACTTGTTCGTCAAGATTTTTAATTATGAAGTTTTAATGGGCTGGGCTTTTTATATCCCTTAAAATGCCCATATAGAGACTATCCAGGTCCACAACAAATTTTAATAGTGGCAGTCGAGGAGACGAACTAATTATATAGAAGTATTGATTTTTTGTTTGTTCCACCTGAATTTTGGTATGCCATGTTGTTAGAAAAAGAAATATTAAAAAAATAAAAATTTCCACAAGAATCACAACAGTAAATGTGTTTTATTTTATTTATTTTTTTGATAATAGTAATACTATAAACTTGGTCTACAACAAATATATAATTCACTCTAAAAATAGAACAAAATATTCAGCAAACAGATTAATCCGAATCAAATCCGTTGGTGTTACAGTTATTCAATTATTCTACACTCAACTAGCACAAACTTTTTAATTATTATTTTTCTCTTACCTGTCATAATATTTTTTATTTCTATATTGTAAAACTAGTAAATTCCAAATGAGTAGCGGAGACGACAACTCTAGTTATTAAAAAGAGATAATAATCTCACAATAATTATTTCCTGTTTTAATACGAGATATATACTCATTTGCATATTTACTTTTTGTTTAGATAATCCCACCAATATATTCATTTGATACGAACCTTAACCTTCACTGACCCTTTCTCTCTCTCTCTCTCTACTCTCTTCTTTTTCTCTCTCTGTCGGCGATGCAGAGGCTATCGCTAGAGTCATCAGCTTCGAAGCTCCATCATAGCTATGGAGGACGAAAGGACGACGCCTATGACATCGATGATTTGAAACCAGTCTCTTCAGCCACTCCTTGTTCGTCGACTTCCGCCGCAGATTACGACGATCACGAGCTCAAAAAGGACTTAAAGCCGCGACGGTTATCATCGCTGCAGTCTCCTTTCGCGACGACGAATCAGAACCGAGAGAAGCTCGTTCACTTCATCCCGATTCTCACTCTCGTCTGCTTTATCATCCTCTTCCTCACTTCTCACACTCCATCTCAATCAGGTTTCGTTTCTCACAACGATTCAATCTTCAATGCTCGTGTGTTTTTTTTCAAAAAAATTCTGATCGGTGGTTCGATTTCGGATTGTTCTCAGATTTGGCTCAGTTTAATGGATTCATGCGTCCTTCGAAACATCTAGGTACATTTGCAGATTCGATTTCAGTTGATTCGATTTTCATATCTGGTACTACATTGAACCCGATGGATTTTACTGATTGGATTGTTTTTGAATCTCACATTAGAAGAATCAGACGAAAATCGCGAGGAAATCTCAGGATATATCAGAGCAGATACGCTAGCCATCCGTACTAGTGTAAGGAACCTTAAAGAGACGGAAAGCTTCCCGTCGAAATCACTTCCGCGTCGCCGGACATCTCACCGGAAAACCGCAGACTTCTAGCTGATGTTAATTTTTTAGAATTTGTTTTCCTCCGTCACATATTGCATGTGGATTTGGTCATTGCGATTTCAAAATAAAATTTCTGTTATAACTAAAATGGGATAGAAGGAAAAGATCAAAAAATCGAATAAAAAGCCTCGCCGACGATGAGAAAGAATAATATAACCGTCATGCTAGATTGCGCTCTTGTTAAAGTTTCAGGCGTAGGTTTACACAAGTAGTAGAGTGGAGTAAAGAGTAGCTTAGAGTGCGCCTAAACAAAAAAAGGATAGTAGTAGAGTAGTTATGCAATCCAGCTGGAATTTTTGGACCGTTACAGAGCCTCGTGCTTGGGGATTTATTATATTCCCAGCTGGAAAGAGTCTTCGTCTTCGTCGTCTTTGCTCTAGGCAATTACGCATTTACTTATTACAACTAGGATTCAGTGTAAACCAATAAATTATAATTAAATAAAAACACTATTGAGTAATATACTTAATAAGCAATCTCTTCCTCAGTTATATTTTTTCTACTATATTCTTCTTACATTATGTCACACTATCTGGTATATATAATTAATCAGCCACATATAATGCTTAGCATTTCAGATTTTTACCTAATTACAGATGTTTTGTAAACCATACATTACACTGTGAAACTTGCATGGTAAAACAGTGTGGGCGATATGATTGAAAACTACTAGTAGGACTAAATAAAAGTACCAATCCATCCTCTCGGTTCAATAAATATCTAAATCAATGAAACATTATTGCTGAACACTAGAATCCAAATAAGCTGAGAAATAGTCAAAATGTTAAACGTAATGGCAAGTGTTTATGTGTCTGGTTAGACATATCAACGTGTGTTTTTAATTTGATTACGAACAATAAAAAAAAAAAGAAAAAGAAAAAAAAAAGGCATTTGGTGAGAGAAGTGATGCCACGCGGGTCTGTCATTATGACGACTGTCACTTTAGCCCACCATCATCGCCGTGACGCTATTTCTCCCTCATTTTATGTAATACGTGTCAAATAATCATTGGCTATTCCCATTGATTACCTTCCTCACTTTTATAAATCTTGTTGATTACTTGTTGTTGTTTCAATGGGGAGGAGTTATGACTTATGTGACTTGAAGCTTAAAAGTTTGCAAATGTAGTAGTGTCATTACTTTTTGTCATAGGATTCTCTTTCTTAGTTATTATTAAAAGCATGTTTATGTGATTATCTTTTCTAGGATTAGTCTTTAAATACGATTCAAATGACGTTGAATTGGTGACGTATATACACTTGGCTTATTTGACTTCTAGGAGATTCGTCGTAGTATTATAGTTATCATGATGATAGACGTATTCGACATTTGGTAGGGAAAGTAAATTTTAACATTTTCAATACTAGGGTGGATATCGCGTTTTGAGAATTAGGTAAGATCCAAACCGGATATAAACTGCGGGAAAATTGTGAAGGAGAGAGCTTTGTTTTCTCAGCAAATTGGGTAGTTGCTTACGGTTTTTCTATACATAGAACCAAACATCCCTCTTTAGGCTGATGAGTGAGAGAAAAAGGCAGAGAAGGGTGTAAAGATGGGTTGAGGATTTCCGGGTTTCCTTCACACCAAAGAGAATGGCTGTTTCATTGCCAAATGTGTACAAGTGAGAATATGTTCATGCTTTTAGGACAATCCCAGTTTTTAGAGTTTTTCTTTTCTCCATCTATGTAAATTTGTTTCATCAAACTCTTGTATTTTTATTTCACGAGGAACTCTTTTGTTTCTGGAATTTGAATCTCGTTGTTAATATCGATCATGTTGTTTGGCATATATGAAACACATCATTGATGTCAGTCACAGAAGTAACCTTTCAATCTTCAATCTTCAGATGTTCCAGCCTTAGTAGCTCTTATTGCCTTATTCCCACCTCTCTTCTTTTCAGCCTTGTCTTTCTCAAACTTATCTCTATCCCTCTTCCCATTGTATACAACCAGATTGAATTTATTTACAGGATCTCAATACCATTTTTGGAAACTCGCGAACCGGATTTCAAGTTTGGTTCTTACAAATAGATTTGGATAAGATTGGTTTTGTGGATCGGATAAAACTTATAAACTCACTTGTATAAGCAAAGCAACACCATCCTCACCCAGTGGCGGACCCAGCCCAAAAATTAAGTGGGTGTAAAGTGACACTTTCAGGATTCGAACTCACCATCTCTCATAAATTATACACGTAAACATAGCCATTTTGCTACATTGATAATTATGATCAAAGTAAATTTTTAAATAATTTGTAAGTTACTGGTGGCAGCTGCTGCCACCACCAACCACAATGTAGGTCCGCACCTCACCAACAGTAGACACAAGAAAAGCAAATTGTATTATCAAAGCAACACCATCTCACCAGCAGTAGACACAATTGCTTCAGAAGAAGAAGAATAATCAGAAGAAACGATATGAAATATCCTCTGGAGTTGCAGAGAATCTCTAAAGTTGAGTTTTTTCCTGGCAACTCTAGAAGACAAGATCTTTTTGCTTGAAACAGACCAAGACTCCAAGAGAGTGGATATAAATGGTTGGTTTTTAGCAGGAATCTAGAATGTTCGTCCACTCCAAGGCTCAATCTCTGCAAATTTAGTTCAAGAAAAGATGAAGCAGAGCAAAAATTCAAACCCATACAGACTTGACAGCTCTCTGCTAAGCGAATAGAACGAGCTCAAGCGGCGAGAAGACTCTTATGAAGAGAGAGGGTCTCAAGGAGAAAAAGAGGGGAAGACTAAATGAATGAAACCATCAAACTATCTTTTCTTACACTGCCTTAAGTGTTGTCGTTTAACAAGAATGTGTGTGTGTATTCAAAGGGACTCCGATATGTTAGGTTTCCTTATGTAAATCAATACAGCAAATATTAATCTCAATGCTCCTTCCATTTCTATCTCACTCACTTTCTTTCTCTCTCGATCTTCTTCAATTCTTCTATCGATAGGCTCAGTATCTGTTTTTTCCTGACATCACTATCAAACCCATTTTTCTATCGTTCAATCTCAAGTCTTTGTTAGGTTTTTTTTTTCTAACTTAAGCAGTAACAAGAGATATCAAAACATCGATACAATCTGAGGAATGGATTTGAGTATCGCTTAATGAAGTTTTGATCTTTGGTTTTAGTTAGAAACGGAGAGTTTTTGGGGATTGTATATATTGAGAGGTATAAAGGTTTGATCTTTATGATTTTTCTTCAAGAGTTTAGCTTATACGAGTATAATCTGTTACTTTGGTTTTGGGGTTTTTGTTGCTTAGGTGATAATGATACCAGAACTGGGGAGAAGACCGATGCATAGAGGTAACGAAGATCCTTCTTTTGGGGATGATTATGAGAAAGAGATTGGAGTATTGCTCGGTGAGCAGCAGCGACGCCAAGAAGAAGCTGATGAGCTTGAGAAAGAGCTTAACTTGTATAGAAGTGGCTCTGCACCACCGACTGTGGATGGTTCTGTTAGCGCTGCTGGAGGGCTTTTTAACGGCGGAGGTAGGGCTCCTTTTTCGGAGTTTGGTGGAGTTAATAAGGGTAATGGGTTTGGTTCTGATGATGAGGAGTTAAGGAAAGATCCGGCTTACTTGTCTTATTACTATGCTAATATGAAGTTGAACCCGAGGTTGCCACCGCCTTTGATGTCAAGGGAGGATTTGAGGGTTGCTCAGAGGCTTAAAGGGAGTAGCAACGTGTTAGGTGGTGTTGGGGATAGGAGAAATGTGAATGAGAGTAGATCTTTGTTCTCTAAGCCACCTGGTTTTGATCAGATGAAGCAGCATGAGTTTGAGGCTGAGAAAAATAGTGCTTCTTCTTCTGAGTGGGATGCTAATGGATTGATCGGTTTGCCAGGTTTGGGGATTGGAGGCAAGCAGAAGAGTTTTGCTGACATGTTTCAGGTTGGTGATACCTTTTCTTATTACAACATCGCTTCTTGGTAGCTTCTATTGGATGTCTATTGTTCGTTATGCTTTGATACTTTGTCAATGTTTTCTCTCTTAGATAATTCTCTCTGTATGTGTATATTTCTCTATTCAGCTAAGCAGCATATATTCCTGCTTATGTGGATTGCTTTCTTGCAGGATGATATGGGGCATGGAGATCCTGTCGTACAGCAGCCCTCACGTCCTGCAAGTCGTAATGCTTTTGATGAAAATGTTGACTCTAAGAATAATCTGTCTCCATCTGCATCACAAGGCATTGGCGCACCATCACCATACAGCTATGCAGCTGTTCTGGGCTCCTCTTTGTCTAGAAATGGAACTCCAGATCCACAGACCATTGCTAGGGTGCCTAGTCCCTGTCTTACTCCCATTGGGAGTGGGAGAGTGAGTTCAAATGATAAGAGGAACACAAGTAACCAAAGCCCGTTCAACGGAGTTACATCTGGTCTCAACGAGTCTTCTGATCTCGTCAATGCTTTATCTGGCATGAACCTCTCAGGTTGTGGCGGGTTAGATGAACAGGGTCAGGCTGAGCAAGATGTCGAAAAGGTCAGGAGCTATATGTTTGGACTTCAAGGTGGGCATAATGAAGTCAATCAACACGTTTGCCGAAACAAATCTGATCAAGCCCATAAGGGAACAGGTTCTTGGAAGAATCCACAGTTGAGAGGGTCACAGGGATCTGCCTATAGTGAGGGAGGTGGACTGGGTACTCATTACCAGCATCTTGATAGCCCAAACTACTGTCTGAACAACTATGCACTAAATCCAGCTGTAGCTTCTATGATGGCTAGCCAACTCGGGAATACTAATTTTTCTCCAATGTATGAAAATGTTTCTGCAGCATCTGCTTTGGGATTTTCTGGAATCGATTCCAGACTTCATGGGGGAGGTCAAAATCTCTCTGAACCACGTAATCTTGGCAGGTTCAGTAATCGAATGATGGGAGGAGGCGCTGGTCTACAGTCTCATATGGCAGACCCTATGTATAATCAGTATGGGAGGTTCTCTGAGAATGTTGATTCCCTTGATCTTCTTAATGATCCTGCAATGGACAGGAACTTTATGAATAATTCATACATGAATATGCTTGAACTCCAGAGGGCTTATCTCAGAGCTCAGAAATCACATTATGGTGTTCCTTACAAATCTGGGAGCCCTAACAGCTATAGCGGTTATGGGAGTCCAACATTTGAGTCTAATATGTCATATCCTGGCAGCCCCTTGGCTCATCATCTTCTGCCAAATTCTCTTGTGTCACCTTGTAGCCCTATGAGACAAGGTGAAGTTAATATGCGATATCCATCTGCAACAAGAAACTATCCGGGAGGCGTAATGGGTGCTTGGCACATGGATGCTAGTTTGGATGAAGGCTTTGGATCGTCAATGCTGGAAGAGTTCAAAAGTAACAAAGCAAGAGGATTAGAACTTTCTGAAATAGCTGGCCATGTTGTAGAGTTCAGGTATTTCCTTGAAAGTCTTTTACCTTTTTTGTGTGTGTACAATTTGTCCCGACCTAACACTTACTGATATGATCAGTTCGGATCAATACGGGAGCCGGTTTATTCAGCAGAAACTCGAGACAGCAACAACTGATGAGAAAAACATGGTTTATGAGGAGATCATGCCACAAGCTCTCGCCCTGATGACAGATGTTTTTGGAAACTATGTGATTCAGAAGGTAGATTTATTTATTTTGTTTATTTTGGAGGTAAGATATTGTAACATAAGTTAGTACTGACTTTGTCTTCCTACAGTTCTTTGAGCATGGACTCCCGCCACAGAGGAGAGAATTGGCAGATAAACTCTTTGACAATGTTTTGCCTCTTAGCTTACAGATGTATGGTTGTCGTGTTATCCAGAAGGTAAAGTCTAGTTCTCACCTGTTTACTGTTCTCTATAAGTCTATATTTGCTTATGAGTTTCATAAGTTTTTCTGTTTTTACCTTTTAAGGCAATTGAGGTGGTTGATCTAGACCAGAAAATTAAAATGGTGAAAGAACTAGATGGACATGTAATGCGATGCGTACGGGATCAGAATGGGAACCATGTTGTTCAAAAGTGTATCGAATGTGTCCCTGAAGAAAACATAGAATTCATTATTTCCACTTTCTTTGGCAATGTTGTGACCCTCTCCACTCACCCATATGGGTGCCGTGTTATTCAGGTTCTTGCTCTTAGTAATAGAGAGAGATTACACATTTGTTGATCGTATGCTTCCAAGTAAAAGTCTTCTTGTCTTATGTTGCAGAGGGTATTGGAACACTGTCATGACCCTGATACAGAGAGTAAGGTTATGGAAGAAATCATGTCCACTGTTAGTATGCTGGCTCAAGATCAGTATGGAAACTATGTTATTCAGGTTTGTAAAAATATGAATTACTTGGTATTTTATACAGTTTGCTCAAAACTAATACTGGTTTTGTTTACAGCATGTATTGGAGCACGGAAAGCCTGATGAGCGCACTGTAATAATCAAGGAATTAGCGGGAAAGATTGTTCAGATGAGCCAGCAGAAGTTTGCTTCGAATGTCGTTGAGAAATGTTTGACTTTTGGAGGTCCAGAGCAACGGGAATTGCTGGTGAATGAGATGCTTGGCACAACTGATGAAAACGAGCCTCTTCAGGTTTGTCAAACACATACTTTCAGATGATTGTTGGGGTACAGAAAAGAAACTATTAGCTCATAATCTTCTTCATCTTTTGTATATAGGCAATGATGAAGGATCAGTTTGCCAACTATGTAGTGCAAAAAGTTTTAGAGACATGTGATGACCAACAACGTGAGCTGATACTTACTCGAATTAAAGTGCATCTCAATGCTCTAAAGAAATACACTTATGGAAAGCACATTGTTGCTCGTGTTGAAAAACTCGTTGCTACTGGAGGTATGTATAATATGTTCTTTGGGTTAAAAGTTTCGACCTTTATCTGCTACAAACCTACCAAATTGTCTTTACTGCATTGATTTCTATGTTCTTACTTGGTTGTTGAAGAGAAAGAGAGACAAAACAAGCATTTCTGTGGCTATTCCTCTTCTCTAAGTGCTTTTTTCTTTTCTTATATGCAGAGAGGAGAATGGCTTTGCAGTCCCTAACCCAGCCTCAGATGGTGTGAGGCCGCAAGTAATGTACAGCTTAACTAGGGTGGATGGCTCTGCCATTGCGTTTTGAGAATTAGGTAAGTTCTAAACCAGAAATAATCTGCGGGAAAATTGTGAAGGAGAGCTTTGTTTTCTCTGCAAACATCTGTAAAATTGTGTAGCTGCTTACGGTTTTCTATACATAGAACCAAAGATCCCACTTTAGGCTGATGAGTGAGAGAGAGAAAATGCAGAGAATGGTGTAAAGATGGGTTGAGTGAGGATTTTAGGGTTTCCTTCACACAAAAGAATGGCCGTTTCATTGCCAAATGTGTAGAAGTGAGAATATGTTCATGCTTTTAGGACAATCCCAGTTTTTAGAGTTTTCTCCATCTGTGTAATTTGTTTCATCAAACTCTTGTTTCCTATTTCACGATAAACTCGTTTGTTTCTGTAATTTTGCAAACTTGTTGTTTATATTGACCATGTTGCTTGGTACACAAGATACATATCATACATGCGACAATCACAGAGCACAACCTTATAAACAAAATCAATCTTGGTCTCTCTAGTAGAAATGGAACAAAATCATTATAGATCAATCTCAATGTCATCATCCTCTTGAATCTTCTGACCAAAACCTCTTGGTCAGCTCTGGCTCTCATAGGCTTCTTCTTCCAACTTGTCATAGGATCTCAAAACCGGTTTAGAAACTTGCACGAAAGGTTACGACAGAAATACACGAATGAAAAGTTACGAAATAAACAAATGAAAAGATACACGAAAAGACCCTAACATTTATAAATAACATAACACAATTTGGTGACATTTTTTTCAGTTTTATATTATCATTGTATAGATAGATTCTCGTATATGCCCTGATATGATACGAACCGTCATGACTGACAACTTTTTCTTTTTACGTTTTAGTGAATAACATGCTCACAATTTTTCGTTTCAATTAATTAAACAAACTCTTTAACTCTTTGAAGTATTATGATCAAATTATCAATAACCCAAATATTCTTTGAAATATCTTAGCACAGTTGAAGTATAAGAGATGGTTCTTTCTACCATAGACTCTAGAGAAAACCAAAAATCATCAATGAAAACTAAAAAGAAAAAAACAAATCAATAAAAGAAAAAAGATTAGAGGTCAACGTGGCACTTGGTGGGATGAAACTGGAACCCTCCGGCTGAGCTAGCGGTACTCAGCGGAACCTTGAGATGACACTTAATTTTAGGCTTAAAGGCCCATGAGTTCAAAAACGCAAACTTAAACCTCATCTTTAACCTCAGCTTCACGTCGATCCTGTAAATCACAGACTTCCGATCCTCCCTTAGATCCCTCCGGCCACCGGCGTCTAACAAAACCAGGTTCTGTCCCTTCAACTCCGTTCCAACCAAAGCCGTATTCTTATGCCCCTGATAAAACGACGTCATATTCACGGCGCCAAAACGCTCATCGCCATAGTAACCCCTCACCTCTAACTGATCATAGCGGATCCCGAGACGCTGGTTAGGGTTACGTATCGCAAAATTCAACGAGAGGTTGTAGTGGAGGTTCTGGCTTTGCGGGTCGAGCTCAAAAGACGTTAAGTTAGCATCCGTGACTTGGAACTTCATGACTGTGGGTCGGAGTAGCAACCAGAGGAATAAAGCTATGACTCCAAGGGTAACAGCTGCATAGAAGAAAATTGTACAGATGATGTTTACGAGACAAGAACCGCAACAAAAGAGACAGCTCGAGAAGCATGCACAGATGCTGCAACATACGTCGGCGCCGCTTGTTCGGTCTTCGCTGTAGTAGGTTCTAACCGGAGAACGGATTGGTGGACCGTAGTTGGCGCCGTTTAAGTGGTAGTTTCCGGTCGCCATGTGTTTGATAGGGTTTAATAATGAGTACTATGAATATGAGAGATATTTATAAGATTGTTTTGCAAGGCAACGAGAATACGTAGCTACTATTGTATATACGTGTGGATCATATATATATATATATATATATGTGCAAATAATATTTCCTTATCCAGTAAATATTTTTTTTATTTTTTCTGGTGAATCCTTATTTTCGTAGGAAAACTAACTAACGCGTGAAAGAGGATGTTCATGTGTGGTTTTTATCTTATCATGCAAAAAAAAAATAAACGAAACTAAATAAACTAATTAAGCTTATATAATAAACAGGATTACACTGTATATTTGTTTGTTTTTGTAAAAAAAATATATACACTAAATATACTTCGATTTGAAATTTTAGAATATTTGGCCGGATACGAATCCAAAACCCAAAAATATAAATTTAAACGACTCAAAAGAATTGCCAAAAATATATGATACTAGTTTTTTTGTACAAAACCCCACTTAATGATACAGTATTTGCGTAAATGATAGACAAATATTCATGGGTATTTACAGAACTAGACCACGTATGTTTTAGCTATTTGCTGAAAACGTATCCTATTTTAAAATACTATATATGGGTATCACGTGCATTGATGATATCCACATCCACGACCACGAGGGTTATGGCTGTGACACTGAGATTAACGAATACTTTTGCAAATTCCAGTCACCCTTTAACGTCGTCCGTACTGTTCCGAGTAAGCAAATCGATCGGCAACAAGACAGCATCATCATTATCAGTCAGGACGGTAAAAATGGCGACTTTTGCTGGGTCTGACTCTGAAACGACACCGTCTACTACCTCGAGGGTCATCGATTCTCATCTCCACATTTGGGCTTCTCCTCAAGAGGTTCCTACTCTTACACAATTTTTTTTTATTCGTAATTAATAGAATTCGATTAAGCTAGCAATTTAGCTATGAGATACTTTTTGGAACTGAAATTGATTCTACTAAGATGATAATGATTTGATGAATCCCCAAATACCTGTTTTCAGGCAGCGACATATCCTTATTTCCCAGGCCAAGAACCTACTTTGACTGGTGATGTCGATTTCTTGCTCAAGGTTTAAGCTTTTAACTCTGCTCTAACACTATCTTCAATTCTCATGGGTTTTGAGCAAAAATGGAGAAAAAAACAATTTCTTCTTTGATGCTTGTTGTGCTATATCTCCTCTGTTTACTGTTTTGATGCTGTTTGTCGTCTTAATTTAGAATATGGAAGAGGCAAGAGTAGATGGAGCTCTTATTGTGCAACCCATCAATCACAAGTTTGATCATTCTTTAGTGACAAGGTCTCGTCTTTTCCTTATACCTCAATCTGCATTTTCCTAAAACAATGCTTTGTATTTCTTTCAGAATTATGCTTCTCTCATTTTGCTTAGTTATGGTATGTCTGTCTCGCTGCAAATTTTTTTGTTTGAGTATATGTCTATGGGATGCATTACTGGGGGGATTGGCTAGTCATGGTTCTGAGTGAAATGCAAAATTGATCTCCAATCAAGTCGGTCCTTTAATTGGATGCGATGTCAGTGGTTTAGTTTAAGTTACTTTTGAAGGTGATTTTAGTTTCTTATTGACAGTGTTCTGAAGAAATACCCGTCGAAGTTTGTTGGTTGTTGCCTTGCTAATCCCGCAGAAGATGGCACTGGAGTTAAGGACCTTGAGAATCTTGTTTTAGAGGTCTTCCCTTTCACTGTGTCTCAAAGCATCTCAATATACATGTATGCATCACATTTCTCAGAGTTTTATCTGTTATTGTAGAGTAATTATCGTGCTGTTCGGTTTAATCCCTATTTGTGGCCATCCGGTCAGAAGGTACCAATTCAATATTTACAGTTACCATAGATCAAGTTTTCGCCTTACATTTTGATTATCAATGATTTTCACAAACACAGATGACAAATGCTGTTGGCAAAGCCTTGTTCTCTAAAGCAGGGGAGCTTGGTGTGCCTGTTGGCTTCATGTGCATGAAGGTCTTGTAGTAGTTTGACTTGTATTCTCCAAAGCTTGTGTTATATACGAAGATCTTTCTTTACAAGTATTGTTTTCTATATTCAGGGTCTGGATCTGCACATTGCAGAAATTGAGGAACTGTGCACAGAATTTCCAAAGACAACTGTTTTACTAGATCACGCTGGATTCTGCAAAGTACCAGAGTGAGCTTTTCTTTGCTACTCGTAAAACTAATTCATTCCCCTGTAATTCCTATAGAATATATTACTAATACTTATGGTTTCACCAACCTGCAGAAATGGTGATGCAAAGCTTGCTTATACTCAACTCATGAAGCTCTCTAAATTCCCACAGGTGAAAAAGGAAAAAACATTCATTTACGAATTTGAATTCTCACTAGCACACATATGATACGAATCTAATAGACGAATATCAAAACAAGCAGGTATATGTAAAATTCAGTGCTCTATTCAGGATCTCAAGAACAGGTTTCCCTTATCAGGACCTAGCACCCCTCCTATCTCAACTTGTGTCCCAGTTTGGGGCAAATCGTGTCATGTGGGGCAGGTAAACATACTTATTTACCTTGCTTTCCCGACTGAAACACCACAAACAAACAAAAAAAACTTCTATATGAACTAACAATATGGACTGGCTGATCTGCTGCAGTGACTTCCCATTTGTTGTTCTTGAATGTGGATACAAAGAAGCCAAAGAAGCTGTGACTATTATCGCAAAAGAAGCATCCTTGTCAAGTTCTGAGATGGACTGGATTCTAGGAAAGACTCTGATGCAGCTCTTCCCTGGACAATGGTTTCTTCCTTGAGAGGTTTGTCAGGAGTAACAGGTTGCATGAGGGTGAGATAACGAAGCAAGTAATGGAAGTTATATCATTGCAGAAGCTTAACTATTACTTGATGTATACCAATTTAGTAAATCGATATAACTTTGATGTTGGTTGATATCTAATGATTAATCGAGGGATGATAAAGGCCTGGATGTTGATGTCTAATATTAGGAGTGCTCGTCGAAAATGTCTTCCACATTGGGTGAACTGCAAGGATCCCCTTTTTGTGTTCAGTAAGGTGATGTGATAACTTATTACTTAATCATCTGTGAATTTGCTTAGACATTTATGAGGGTTTGGTTTTTTTGAGAGAAGGACAAAGCTGGCTTCTCTTCTTTTAAGTCTTGGTTAGCTAGTATCTTGAGGGCATGTATTAGGTTATCTCAAGAATTTTGACAGATTATATGAAGGATTCCTCTGACACCAAACGAGAAACTGGTTATGGCCTTTGACTTGATGACCTTACCTAGATAGTTATTAAGGATCTGAAATTGTGGGGACTATCATGTGATTTTAAGCTTATATTGAAACTTGAAGGATGGAGGTTGTGAACCTGCAATGACTACTGTTTTCATTCCGATGGTTAAGAAAACTAAGTAGCGAGAAGAAGTTAGTTGCATTGCAAAGCTGTTTCTGGAAACTCTTCAGTCTGATAACATACAAATGCATGATGAGTTGTACTCTTATTGATGATATAGCACCAAGTGTGTTGAGGAAGAGGGAACTTTGTGCAACACAGACCCTTCTTGTAGCTCATCTCTTGAAACACTTTCATTCAGGTGAAATATATGATGTGTAAGCCTTGAGGATTGAGACATACATATCAATGCCCTTCAAGTACTCAGATTGACCCAGATACTGCAAAAAGGCAAGATGAAAGAATGGCGTTAGAAATTGCTCATGGGAGGTGATGATCCACCAAATAATAAGCAAAACTGAAGGATGCTCCACGACCATCTGAAATGTAACATTTGCAAAAGAGACAGTACCTCATTATGATCATGAAGCAAACTCGGGGTGTTCGATATAGGAGAGAACCCAATTGCAAGCAAGCCTGCTTTTCGGAAATATCGAGAATCTGTTGATGCAGGGAAAATCTCAGGCTTACTAGTATTTCCTCCAGCTTCTTGCACAGCATTTTCTAAAAGTTCCAACCATGGATTTGAATCATCTATTGGTGTAACTAACTGATTCCTTGCAAGCTCCTGGTCCGCCCGCCATAGCTGACATACCGAGGGGACTTGTTAGATACATGGCATTTTTAAATCTCTGGCTACAGTACTAAGAATATTACCGTGAGGGACATGTTTCGGGCAGGAGGTGCCCATTCCTCTACCAAACGTCTTTCTAGTGCTTCAGGATCAGCAGTGGGTGGAACACGGATGTCGAAACCAGCTTCCGCCACAGATGGTTGCAGGTTCATTACAAATCCCTTTATTAAAAAGAGGTCCAAATTGTCATGTTCAACCACATATATCAATTTTGGTTACCACTCCAAGTGTGAAAAAAAAATAAAGAGAGAGGAATACATCTGGAGTAGGAGTGCCAGCTTTGAGGAAAACCATGTTAACAGAGATAACGTCGCCTTCACCTTTGAAACATTCTTTGTGTTTGAGCTGATCAAACTGAGAAGCTCTGAATCTCATGATACTCTCAATGCTTTTATTGAGATTCTCCATGGCAGAGTCATCATAAAGCTTTGCGCCATGGCCAGGTTGTCCAACAGCTTTAATCTGGAGCGACCATGGAATCCTCTCTCCATTAAACACCCTGTAGCTATCCCCGGAGGAAGATGGTAAACCTGAGTCGATTCATCACATTATATATTGCACTAAATATATAACTCAAAAACTCATTTATTAATTTCTTTCTATTTCAAACCACTTCTTTTTTGGTTTGGCGGCTTTCAACTACCTTTTAAAATGAAATATTAAATCTAAATAAAGAAAACTTGGTAAGTAACTTTGTTAACCTTCGTCAAGCACGATGGCAATGTTGAGGCTTTTGAAGGTTTCGGATTCGACAAACTTCCCAACACCATCAGCGCCACCTATCTCTTCATCGGGAACGAAGGTGACATAAACGGATCTAACCGGCTCAAATCCAGAGGCTATGAGCTTACGAATGGATTCTAAGTACTGCATCCCAACGCTCTTCATGTCCTGAGTTCCTCTAGCGTAGATTTTGCCGTCTTGGTCGATCTCTGCTCCGAGCGGAGGATGATCCCACTTATCTTCCTCAAAGGGGACAACATCGACGTGAGAGTTCAAGAGGATCGCAGGTAAAGAAGGATCTGAACCAATCCATTTAAGGAGAACGACAGGCTTTCCTGGAACGAACTCGATAGAGTGAGACTCGAGATGGAGAGAGATGGATTTGGCCTGAGAGATAATGAAATCTGCAGCTGCGGTGTAATCAGGAGTTGGATGCACGGTGTCGATTCGGAGATAGTTCTGGAACCTGGTAATGATCTCTGTCTCCTCTGTTTTAGCTAATGATGGAGAGAGAGCCATTGATGAAGAAGCTTTCTCTCCCCACTCATGCAGTCTTGTGTTTAAGTAGCAAGTTTTTAACTTGTAGTATACCATGTAAAAGCTTCATCTTTCCCATCAGCAACGTGATCCGGATCTCCCACCCAAACCGGATCCGATCTTGTTGTCAGACATCTTCGTTTTTGTCAGTTTTCTAGCATTTTACTATATACTAAATAATTTTATAAACGTGGTGAGTCTTTTATATATATATATATATATATATATATATATATATAAGATTCGAGACTATTGTTCAATTTGTTCCCAAATCACTAAGAAGTCCATCCGCGCTCCATCATTAGCTTCTTCAACTAATTGCAATGGATAAAGAAAGGGATGTGAATACGATACTTATATATATTTAGCTAATTACGATACTTATATATATTTTTTGGTAGAAAAGGGGAGGCAACTGGCAAGCCTCCAACTATTCTTAATAGAAAAAAAAAACTCACTTCATTAGCATCCCCTAACATCAGCAAATGCACAAATGTCAGGAGAAAATTCAAAAGAATGCAATCCTAGATCCAAAGAGACGCATAGTTCGCTAATCGATCAAATACATTACTTATGCGTATTTGTGTATCCATCAAAACTGAAAAGCAAAATCTTAATTATTTATTTGATACCAAATTTTAAGCAGCAATAACTTATGTAAAGGTAACCGATTCTATCATTATGTTTACCATGAATCCTCAATCTTTTGGAGCTACTCAATGCTCTACAATTCTTAACTACTTTATTTGTGGTTTTAATAAATTCAACTTTTGTATTGGATAAGAGTTTCGTTCTTCGACAACCTCCGTCCGGCCCGGAATCTAATTGAAATTGTAAGGGCTAATCACAAGCCGGCCCAATAGACCGTGGCCTGTTCATAAAATGCATTCACCGCCTCAAATTAAGGCGAGACAAAAGATCCCACATCGATCTAAAGAGAAAGTCAAATGATATTACATCAACTATAAAAGAAGATGACAAAAATGTTAAGAAAGCATGTATACTAGAGTGAGAGTCAGGAATATTACCCGATTCTATCTCTGCGACTAAGTTTGACATTAATCAGCTAGTCAAGTTACAAGATCGTGATTAGTCGATCGGCGGTTTCTAAATTTAATCGGTAATCCGTCGACTCTTTATTTAATAGTATTCAATAAGAAGTTCTTTTGTTTCCCCGTTTTTCATCACCATTTAATCACTATATCTATCAACATTAGTTTACACGATAATCCAAGTGAGCATATAATCATTCTTTGTGTTTGTTTTTTATCCTTGTATATATATATATTAAAATATACTACTTCCATACGATTTTGAGTTGGATACTCTCTCACTCACTCTCTCTTACTTCCAACTTCCTTACTTCCTTTCCTACGTTTCTTTGCGTTTGTAGATGATCCACCTCTGGGATTTCACAAAATCCATTGGCTTCTTCTCTGATTGTTCTTGGCAATAATCGAAAGGTTTCACATTTGTGCTCTTGGGTTCCTAACTTTGGGTTTTAGGGTTTCTTGGTCGATGTGATGAGTCACCGGCGAGATTCCCGCGGCGATGCTGTTCACGTGAGATTCACCGACGACACTCCACCGGAGAATCGGTTTCCGTATCCCGGCGACAATTCCGTCTGGGCCACTGAGGATGAGTACAACCGTGTCTTTACAATCAACCCCGACGACGCAGAGCTTCCGAGCAAGAAAACACGGACTTCCTCCTCCACCGGGATCGGGAAATCGTTCTTCAAGACGAAGCTCTGCTTCAAATCCCGCGTCGGAACTTGTCCCCTCGCCGCGAGCTCTTGCCATTTTGCTCACAGCTCGGAAGAGCTCCGTCGTCCACCGCCGCTGCCTAATCGGCAGGAGACTGCGACGGAGGCTTCAAGAAACAGAGAAAGCTTTGCTATGAGTTTCGGCCCTCGTGGTTATGGTGGTGCTGCTAGTGATGGTGGCAATGTTGCTCAGACTTTGAAGCCTCCAAATTGGAAGACAAGGATTTGCAATAAGTGGGAGATTACTGGGTATTGTCCTTTTGGTACTAACTGCCATTTTGCTCATGGAGCTTCAGGTAAAGTTTTCGCCTTTTTTTATTTTTAATCTCTATTAGTAACCTCAATTTGCTTCAAACTGTAGTATAGAAAATGGGTTTTAATCAGTGTTGCTTGATGGATTGTGAGATTAGAGTATCACCCTACAGGTTAATGGATGCTGAATCTCATGAATTGACTGAGAGATGAAATGTTTCCATGTAGTAGCTAGCTAAAAGTTTGAGTCTTTATGATTTTTTTATGCAGAGTTGCACAATTTTGGTGGAGGCCTTGTTGGAGGAGAAGGTAAGATCGGAACATCCATCACTCCCGACATAAAGCAGACGGGACAAGTAGACACAGTGGCAAACCTCATTTCTCCCGGAGTCCCGCCTCAACGGACATCTAGTGCCGTCATGCAGAAACCCAACGGGGTCAGAACTCAACGGAAATGGAAAGGACCGGATAAAATCAGTCGGATTTATGGTGATTGGATCGATGAGATTGAATAATGCATATTTTTCACTGATTTGTTGACCAAGGTATAGCCTAGTTGTAACTATGTGGACATACTAGCATCCTCACATAACAAAGACAACAAAAGAACTTGCTCTTCTTTCTGTTGTATCATCTTAATGATCTCTTTCTATGATGCCAATTCTAAATCTGATCATGTAGCAGCAGTTTAAACCGAGTAAATCATGTTTCGTACTTGTAAACCTGACCATCAAGGCTACTTATTTTTTCTCTATTTACTTAGGTCAAATATTATTGTTTTAGAAACTGTTTTTTCGTTTTGACTGGTCTCAAGTTATTTTTAACATCCAAAATGATTTATTAAGACAGTGATTTTTTTATTATTAATTTTTTTTTTTAAGAAAAAAAGACAGTGATTTTTCTTTTTTTAACTGTCACAGAAGACTCGCTCAAAATGCTAAGCAAAGCCACTTCTGTCTCTCAGACATAGCCACTTTTTTCTCCTCATTCCACTCTATTAATTTGGAATTATATGTCTTCTTTCGCAAGGAATTCTTAGAACACACCTTTCTTATCTCCCAAGAAATCTACAGAAACTGGTAGAATTGGGGGATTCCAACCTTCAAATGTCGTCAACAACATCAATACCAGCTACTGATGTTTTCCCTACCTCTTCCATGCCTGTCACCGTAATTTTGACTGGCGTGCTTCTCTTTGTAATTTTTGCTGGATTCTTTTCTCTTTTCTTCTGGCAATTTCTCCTGAATCGATTATTTTCAACTTGGAACCTTCAGCGAACACCTTACGCTGACCTAATCCATGTGGCCACTCCGCCTGAAAATACTGGCCTCGATCCACTTATCATCCGCTCATTTCCAGTGTTCCTCTATTCATCCGCAACAATGAAATATCACGGGACAGAATGCGCTATCTGCTTGTCAGAGTTTTCAGATGAAGACACAGTTAGGCTCATAACAGTTTGTCGTCACCGCTTTCATTCAAATTGCATTGATCTTTGGTTCGAGTTACACAAGACTTGTCCTGTTTGCCGGTGTGAGCTAGACCCAGGCCTTGTCGGATCTGGAAGCCATGAATCTTTGCATAACACAATCACAATTACTATTGAGGACGTAAACCATGACGAAGAAAATCCTCCTACCACTGGTTCCAGCAAAAGGATAGTGGAAGCCTCAGCTTGGCGATTCTCGAGGTCACATTCTACCGGACATTTCATGGTTAAGACGACAGATGTCAATGTGAAAATCAAAAGAAGGCATTACCAAACAGGAAGCTGTGTCTCATTCGACGAACTTACTCGGTATGATGAAGCAAGGTGGCTTGGTGATTCATCATACATTAGCAGGATTGAAGTCTAGTTTACTGATTAATTCTGTTACATTTTCCTTTTTGTGTTCTTTGTAGCAGTAGATATTTCAAAATTGTAATAAGATCTGTAGTCAGGTTCTCATGCTCTTATCAGATAACTGAGAAAATAATAAGAGTCACTCCACCGGTTTTTCTTCAGAAGTGTTGTTGTCTTCTGCAGTGTCTCCATCTTCAGAAGTGTTATCTTCTTCAGTGTCACTATCTTTAGAAGTGTTGTTGTCTTCTACAGTGTCACCATCTTCAGATTCACTGGCAGTTGTCAAGCTGAACTTCAGAATGATAGGTCTACCCATTATCTCCTATAAAAAATACCAACTTGAAATGAAACACTTTACAAGCTCAAGAGGTAAAGGAGCAAACTTTCTAAGAGCAGTTTGGAAATTGATAATGAAAAACGAGAACTTTATACCTTCCCATCGAGTTTGGTGATTGCATTCTCAGCTTCTTCTCTGGTAGCAAATGAGACAAAGCCATAGCCAGAAGATCTTCCTTCAGGGTCAGCGAAAACAACCCGAGCTGAGACCGGGTTGAAATCTGCAGCAGTGAAAAGCTCACGGAGATGGGTTGACCTTGCTTTCCAAGCGAGATTAGATACGTAGAGTTTGTGACGAGTGTCTCCAGGGGGAGGAGAAGGAAGAGCATTTGGTGGTTTTGGAGTAGGCTTCTTGAACCTTCTAGCAAAGTTTACTCTGATGATTCGCCCTGAGACTTCCTAAAAAAACCAACAACATAGAAGCTTGTTCAACTTCATGGATGAGCTAACAATTCAGCAAAATACCTGAGTAAGTAGTTTTAAAAGTTCGCATTTCATTCTATGATATTGAATTATCCACCTGAAAGGCTTTTACAAATTAACCAAAAAATACTCAATGACTCAATCAGAGAAGAATTAAAATAATTTGAAACTAAGAACACAGATCATCATTAGAGAAAGACAATTAAATTAACTAAGTTGATAAAAGAATGTAAAAGGTTGAAGCTTATGTGGAGAAAAGATCCCACATCGGAAGATGTGAGGGGACTTAAGTAATATATAAAGGGTTAGGGCCAATCCACTCATTGCCAATTGGTTTTGAGTTGGAATCCCATAACAAACCCTAATTTAATTTAACAGCTTACAAAAGCATCGAACTTATCAACAGCAGCTTGAGCTTCTTCTCCAGATGCCATTGTTACGAAAGCAAATCCTCGATTCTTCCCATCTTTTTGCCTTATGATCTGTGATTTTTTTTTAAAATTGAGGTTAAAAAAAAGTTTCATAGTAACACAAACAAAATTTCAATTTTTTTTTGTATGAGAAAGAACAACGACCTCGACATTGTTCACAGTCCCGCATTGTCGAAAGAGGTCGGAGATGTCATGTACACTCATGGACCAAGGAAGATTGAATACAAAAAGCTTCCTTTTAAGATTTGACTTCTGGGTTTCTTCAGTCTTATCCTCCTGCGACGTTTCATCCTCCGTCGAAGTTTCTTTCTCCGTCACGGAACATAGTACGGAGACGAGCCGCCGAGAGTTATTAATGGCGCTGGAACCTAGAGGGACGACGGGGGAGTGATTACTGGGAATCCGAAGAGTAAAGGCGGTAGGTTTAGACCGTTGAGAAAAGAGATAAGGTTTAGAGGAAGAAGAAGAAGAGGAAGAGAGTGAGAGGATGGAGAGAGCAGCTTCCAGAACCGCCATTGTTAGATTTGGCGCAAGAGAAATGGATTAGACCCGAAACAAAAGGATAATTCTTTTCTAGACCGGTTTGGTTTTCTTGAAAAGTTCTAATTGCGAACCGGATGATCTACCAACTTCGGTTCTAGCACGAGAAATTAACCGTACTTTTTTTTTGGTATACCAAGAACCAAGAAATTCCAATCCCACGTAGCACATAGCCACATACATATTGCGGTCAAAGACTCAAAATAAACAAAAATGATTAGTTTGTGAAACTCATGTATTTTCTCAAAGTCAAAAATGAGTAGTTTGTAACAATGCAAATACGAAAATTTTCAATTTTCAAATGTATTGAAAGTTATACCAAGAAAAGTCCAGCCAGTCGTCTCCAATCCATTAATCCCACCAAGTTTGATGTGATGAGTGATGACTGATGCCTATTGCACGATGTCGTTTGGTAGCAACTTGTACACACACCAACCAAACCAAACCATTTCCTATTTTACTAAACGGAACTGAAGAAAATCCAAATTCGAGAAAGAAGAAGAGTCCAACACTAAAAACTCGGAGAAGAAGAAGTAGAGAAGAGAACCATTAAGCCATTTCTTCTTCCTTCTTTACTCTGACATCCTCAAAATCCCCAAACCGTAAACCTTAATTTCTCGAATTCGTTACTGCTTGAGATTCGAGTCAGAGGTGGTTTATGTGAGGTACTGCTGACATATATACACACAACATGGCGTCTCTGGGTCTGTCGTTTCCTCCCGCCTCCAAAACGCCGACGTATCTAGCCTCGTCTTCTTCAGCTTTCTTCACTAGCTCTTCTCTATCCCTCAGGACCTCTCACTCTCGCTCCCGAAACTCTCTCTTCGCTTGTGTTGTAAGCAGTGGTCTTAAAACCCTTTTGTTACGCTATTGCTCATTCTGTATTTTTGAACTTTGATCCTTTTTTAAGTTCTCTCTATTACATTTCCGGATTTGAGTAGACCCTATTACCCATCTTGTCTAGTTTATGTTTCTGAGATTTTAATTGGTGCATGAGCTACAAAGGTTGTCCCTTTCGCTAGAATCTTGTTTGTTTTTGCGAGTATAGCTATGTAAAGGTTGTCTCTTTTGTTTGATGAATATAGTTAACTATCCAGTAACAGAGATTGAGATCTATATGAATCTCTGATTAAGTCTTGTTGTTGTTGATGTTGCTAGAAATGTGATATGCCAGAGTCATTGAATGTTGGAAACGGGAACCCAAGTATCCCAATTATTAATGAGAGGACGCTTCCAAAGTTCTTGGAATCTGCAAGGATGGAGAAATCAGTCAGTAGAACCAATACAAGGCTGAAGTTGTTCTCTGGTACTGCAAATCCAGCACTTTCTCAGGAAATTGCTTGGTATATGGGCTTGGATCTTGGAAAGGTTAACATTAAGAGGTTTGCTGATGGAGAGATCTACGTTCAGTTACAAGAGAGCGTTAGGGGATGCGACGTGTATTTGGTGCAGCCTACTTGCACTCCCACTAATGAGAACCTCATGGAGCTTTTGATTATGGTAGATGCTTGCCGAAGAGCATCAGCCAAGAAAGTAACAGCTGTGATTCCGTATTTTGGATATGCAAGAGCTGATAGGAAGGTAAGGTCTCTTTTACAAATGTTTACAGCCTTAACCAGTTTAGCTACTTTGACATGAGATGGAGGGTTTGTTGATCTTTTCTGGGTAAAATTGTATGATTTCCTTCTCGCAGACACAAGGGCGTGAATCCATTGCCGCCAAATTGGTTGCAAATCTTATCACTGAAGCTGGTGCAGATAGAGTTCTTGCATGTGATCTTCATTCAGGACAGTCCATGGGTTATTTTGACATTCCAGTCGACCATGTGTACTGCCAGGTACACCTTTAAAGCCATCTTCTTGATAGCTAGGGCCGCTCCTCATGCATTGTGTGTGTGTGTGTATGCTCCTTTCTTTGTATAATACTTTTTCACCCTTCGTGTGTTTAATTTTTCCAGCCTGTGATACTTGATTATCTTGCTAGCAAGTTAATTCCCTCAGAGGATTTGGTAGTGGTTTCTCCTGATGTTGGTGGAGTAGCCAGGGCACGCGCTTTTGCAAAGAAACTATCAGATGCACCACTTGCCATTGTCGATAAAAGACGTTCTGGACACAATGTTGCTGAGGTATCCTTTTCTTTCAAAGTCAGAGTTTGCTCACCAACACCGCTTGCTTCCCCTCAAGTTCACATATGTTATACTTTCCTTTCAGGTCATGAACCTAATTGGGGATGTAAGAGGGAAGGTGGCAATAATGGTGGATGATATGATTGATACCGCTGGTTAGTAAAACTGTGTGGAGTTGTCATGTTACCAACAAACCAAGCTTCCTGTCTCTCTCTATAGATTCCCCATCAAGATCAGTAAAACCCCCTTCTCCTTTGTCAGGCTGAATCCTCTTAGAACCAATCTTGTTCTGTTTTATCTCAGGAACCATTGTAAAAGGAGCAGCTTTGTTACACCAGGAGGGTGCTCGGGAGGTCTATGCATGCTGCACACACGCTGTTTTCAGGTAAACCACTAAACTACAGTTTGTCTTTGAACAAGTCTCAAAATCACTACTTTCTAAAGCATATTTGTTTTGGTTTGGTTTCAAATGAATCAATGGGAAGCCCGGCTGCAATAGAGCGATTATCAGGGGGTTTGCTTCAAGAAGTGATAGTGACAAACACATTACCAGTAGCAGAAAAGAATTACTTCCCGCAGTTGACAATTCTATCAGTGGCCAATCTTCTTGGTGAGACCATTTGGCGTGTCCATGATGATAGTTCCGTCAGTAGCATTTTCCTTTGACCACCCCTCATTGCAACCATTTGAACGGTTCTTGGTTTTTGTTAGCCGGATGAAGGGTCGGTTTAGAAAGTGTATCCCGGTTAATGTTCTAACCGGCAAACTTCACCAAATTTGCTTGCTTTGTCTTTTGATAGCTTAGGTTTTTTGAATTCTTACTTGCTCCACATCTCATTATGGATCCACCTTGGTCTTGAACATATTTTTTGATTATGGTATACACAAGTTTCTCAGTTAATACAGCAAACTAGATACATATGACATGCAAATTGGCTCAAAATCATTTTGACAAATTGACAAAAGGATACAAATCTATACGGGCCAAGTCCAAAAAGAAAACACACAAAAAGCCCAGAAGAAGAATAAGGAGTCAAAATTAGGGCTTCTATATATTTAGTTTCAATTAGTATATATAGCACAACCACGTCAACTTTTTAAGACAAGCCTATACCTAGTTCTGTGCTCCGTCTCATTATTAGAGTTTGGTCTTCTTCTTTGATTTTTTAGATTAGCTTCAGCTTTTTTGTTTTGTCTTGATTTTGTGGTTACGAGTTTTAATAGATGAGCTGTGATGAAAAAAACCGTGTGCCAGAGATGGGATTACTCATCGCTGACGGTAAAACACAACCCTCTAAGAAGTTCTGAGCTTTTCTATATCTTAATTATCTTTTCCTCCGGATTTTGAAGATTTTTTTTTTCGGATTTATTTAAGGATTTTGTATTTTTTTTTTGGAGTCGAGGTGACGATAGAAATTCACAGGTCTGTCAATCCACTGAATCTTGTGATGTAATTGTGTTCTCGACAGGTTCTGATCGACTCCTGATTCAAATCCTTTAATCTTTTTTTTTTTTAAAGTTGGTTTGATTTTGGATCTGAGTAAAGGATGAATCTCATATTTTGATGTTATTTGAGACTGAACTTATATTGATGTTTTATTCACCTTGGAGAACTGATACTCAGATTCTTAGCTTCTTCTTGTTTTTGGTTGACTTTAAAAATTTGGTGTTTTAGTTTTCTTATAATGGGCAGATGATGAAATCATATTTCATGGGTAATTTGCGTCTGAATTTTTGTGATGCTAACTTTTATGATTATCTGATGCCCTGCAAAGAAAATGTTTTTTTTTACTAGTTTCACAGGCAATTATAATTGATACTACTTTGTTAATTGATTTAACTTGTTCAATTAATCTTTGATCATATCAGCTTGGGAACTTTGAACATTGCACTTATGCAGAGGACTCATTGCTGAGGTGGCTTGCAAAAGATGTGGAGAGCTGGAGGATGCGATCCATGTGCTGGTTAATTGCAGTTATGCTAAGCAGGTTTGGGAGCTATCTCCATTGGTGAAGCCCCCGGTAACAAGCATGATCCACTCGATGCATGACTTGTTGATAGAAGCCAAGGAGATGATCACGCTTCCTCCGATTGGGTTGGGAATTACTCCCCTCTTCCCATGGGTGTTCTGGTTCTTGTGGAAGGCCCGGAACCGGCTAGTGTTCGAACGTAAGGAAACCGCAGCCTCAGAGACTTGTGTGAAGGCGCTGTCGGAAGCACGGAGTTGGCATTTGGCGAATCTGGGACAGAGCTCTCGGACCCCTTCCTCGCGTCGTAGCCAAGTTTCAAAACCTCATAAAGACGCCTTCTCCTGCTTTACAGATGCGTCGTGGCAGCAATCGTCGCATTCTTGCGGACTGGTTTGGATTATCAAATCGCCCTCTGCAACGGTGTGCCTTCAAGGCACCGCTTCAAGACCCTTTGTGTCGTCGGCCCTGGTGGCGGAGGCACTAGCTTTAAAGGCTGGAATCCAGGAAGCCTTAGCTATGGGTGTGTCAAGATTGGCCTGTTTTTCGGATTGTTTGGTTCTTGTCCAACTTCTCAACTCTGGAGGCCATGTTAATGAGATCGATGGGGTTTTGGAGGATATCCATAATGCTCTCGGCTCGTTCTTATCATTTTCTTTTCACTTTATTCCTAGAGCTGAAAACTCTCAAGCAGACGCACTTGCAAAGTCTGCTTTGAACTCTTGTACCTCCTCCTTCGTGAGGATTTAAATTTGATCTTAATATATTTGGTTTACAAAAAAAAAAAAAAAAAAAAGAACACTGAGATGGAAATTAATTCAACATTGCACTTGGCTTAAGCTGTTTATTCCAATAAACAGAGACCAATTCCATACCCAGGAGAAAAACGTTAAAAGTCTTACTTTCGCACCAACAAAACGCGTAATTTAATCTTGGTTAATTTGTAATGATAAAACATTTTCTTGAATTCAGACATTTACAAACCTACAGTTCTCTCTTATTTCGCCTTCAATACCAGTAAGAACATTGATGCTACCCATTTTCAACATGGATTCCACAAAATCTATGAAGAAGAGGTCTTGGTCCACTGCGTATTCCCATATTTTTCGAAAGATCTCTCCTTCGTGATCTTCTGTGACCAGAACGTTATCTGAAATCAGCAACCCTTTCCCCTCTAACAGATTTATGTAATAATGGTTATCAAAGTATGCTTCTGTCTTGATATCCAATGGTGACAGTTCGTTGTCACGGCTTGAATCTTTGCATTGTGACCGTAGGACTCGCCTGAATGTGCTGTGTCTCTTGAACTCGTCCACGTAGAACGTTTGTTCCATGTTTGGTTGAACAATGCGTTGCTTGAAGCTCAAGCATCTCGCTTTTCCTATTGTATGAGCACCCGAAAGAGCAATGAGATCTTGAATGTCGAGGCCTTGTTGTTTGAAATTGTTGATGAGGCTGTCGAGGGACGAGTTTGGTGCTGGAATAAATTGGTTTGCGCCTGCGAAGCTTGCTTTTAATGAGTCTCTTCTTCCTAGCAAAACTTCCCACCATGGTCCACCTCTCTGTTGATGCCAAACAATATTTGTATATTAAGGAAATTGACCCCTTAGATTTTGATTTGATCGGAAAGAAGCAAGGAGTCAGGGGAGATTACCAGGAAGACAGAGTCACGAGCGGCCATAGCGATGATATCGGAACAGGACACGGTTAGAGGACATGCATCTTCGAGGAGGTACTTAATGTAGTCGATTACTTCAAATCCACGTAAAGAGTTCACATTAGGAGTTGCTTGTTTCTCACTCACCATATCTCCATGTGTGTCCAAGAGCACAGACGCATCACAACCCTAGCCCCACAATAAATCCAACACTTGAATATCAAAATTGACGGACTAAGAATCTGAGAGACAATCGCACTCTCACACACGCCAATTCAAGAAGTATGCTAGAATTTGAGCCTCACAGCTACTTGAAAAAGTTATGACTCAAAAACTCAAAAGTGAAGAAATAAAAAGAGTAGAGAGGGACGAGTTCTAACCAAGACGAAGCAGTCGTGGAACTGAAGACGAAGAAGAGAAGCTGCCATACGAGGATCTTTGAGAACAGCAACCTCGACGTTATGCTTCACGATTTCCTCTGCTAATGGGCAACTCTCTTTATAAAAATCCTTCAGTAATGGTCCTCCAAATTCCCCCAAAGCCGATGTTGTAATTGCAAAAAGCACAATTAAAGAAAACCATAGCTTCATTTGGTATTTTATCTCCATTGGAAAGTTATGTCATGTGTTTCTGCGCATCTCTATCTTTTAATGTGTATGTGCATAATGAATGTATGTGTGTGCTTTGTTAATCAATTAATGTTCTCTGTATGTTATCATATGTCGTTATATGTGTTTTCATGCCCAATTTTTACCACAAAGGATGTTACGGTTTTATCAACGGTAGATACAACCAAATTGACCAACAGAGACCTAACTTGCCTTATGAGTTTGGATACGTGATTATAATATAATGGAGACATATGTATTATTTAAAAACAAAAGTTGGACGGAACTGACCGGAACTAGGAGTCTAGGATGCATGAATATAAGATTCATATCCATGACAGTGACCCTTAAGATACTACAACACACAAACACAACAAAGAAGGTTTACCAAATGTAATGGTTATATATCTTTTAAGGTTACCAAATTATACTAATTGTTATATATCTTTTAAGGTTACAAAATTTTCTTAATAATTTTAGTTGGACTGGCTTTGTGGAGATGTTAGATGCATTTTAAGGATAACAAGTTATAAAGATCTGTGTATGATGGAAAAAATAATCTCAATGTGTTAGTTTTAGCTCTCTGCTTCATCTTCTTAAACTCTTATTTTGTGATGTTGGTGATAGAGTGTATGCAAATATAGGAAATAAGCATGACAAACGAAAGATATTGGAACAGAAAGACAGAAAAAAGAACCCTCCTAGTGAGCGGCGTCTTCATCCTCGCAGAACTTGGTGTATTCCTTTGGACCCATCAAAGATTCCAACTCCGCGGGGCTGCTCGGCTTCACTTTGATCATCCAGCCATCTTCGTAAGGGCTTGAGTTGATCTACATAGCATACAATTGCCAAAGCATTGCTTATATGTTGTCACATGTGAGATGGTAATTAACTTAACTATATTTCCTTAAAGACTTTAAAACCATACCAAGCCTGGTGATTCTGTAAGCTTCTTGTTAACCTCAATAACTTCACCTGAGATCGGTGATAAGATCTCACTTGTTGCCTTCACACTCTCCACTGCTCCAAAGTTTTTCTCTTTGCTCACCGAAGTATTTTCCTCTGGGAGTTCCACAAACACAACTTCACCTAAATGTTCCTGCAACATCAGTGTCATGTCTCCTCTTTCTTCAGCCAATAACTTTACACATCTATCATTATCTTTATAACCATTCTCCAAAGAGACAAAAACACTAATCCAGTTCCAATGTGACAGAGTTATTACTTTGATCTAACAGTTAGATTACATAATAGGAACCTGAGAGAGCCTTTGTTACCTGAGCATGAGCAGTGATGCCAATGGTGGCAACAGAGCCTTCATGTTTAACCCACTCGTGTGAATTTGCATACTTCAAACCCTCCAACACTACAAAGCAAAACAGAAACACTCATATCAACAGTTTAAAAAAAAAGCTATGTAACACACACACACACCAACAACCACAATTACTAAACACCTGTGGAGAAGCATCTAGAGATTGAGAAAGCTTGAGAGAGATGAGACTTGGAGACAGAAGAAGAAAGCTTGAGAGCGTTTGCTGTAGAAGAAGCCCACATTCTCAGTGCCATTTTTGTTTGCCTTCTCTCCCTTCTTTTCTTGCTCTTTGTGTTTTGTCTTCTCCAAATATAGAGGAGATCTCAAAGATATTCTCTCTCTGTGCTTTTGTGTGTGTGAGTGTGTTCTATCTTTAATATGTAAGGCAGAAATTGAAGGCCTCATCCTCTGCCTATGGTGTGTATGAAAAGTGTAACCCAAACCTTCTCTATGACACAGAAGCTCTTGAAATTACTTTTTTGGGTTCCTTTTATTAGCTTTTCCATGGGACAAAGTAATGGCTCCTAGCATCCAACTATATATATTTGGTAATAATTTCATGTAATGTACTAATGCAGATTAAATGCTAAGTAAAAGGGTAATTGTGTAGTTAATATTTTTTGTCATTTCAATCAGATAAGACAGAAAATTGTGCACAGGATTGAATGTATTCAAACATTTTAGGACAAGGTATCCAAACATTTTAGGACAAAATGTTTTTTCATAAATATCATCGAAGTTTTGGAGCTCTTTAGCTTTCTGTTCCAAAACTTGGGGGTTAAAATAGAATTAATGAATATGTTCGGGCAGATATGCAAAATTTAAAACTCAAGTCGACTCTCCGACATCGGAGAAAGAGCAAGCAAGTGAGAAAACAGAGTTTGTTTTTCAATCCCCAATTCGAAACCCTAATCCTCAATCTCTCGTGAATTTTCTGAGAAGCTTGAAGGTATAGTAAAATTGCACACGATTCGAAGTGGAATGGTGAAATCAATCGAAGAAGTGAGCTCTGATTCGACCAACAATGGCACAGTCGAGATCACGTACAAAACCATCGGCCCAGCTCGGCCGTCTCAAATTCGTGTGGCGTCTCATATCAAAGTATGGAATTTTCTTCATTCTTTTTTATATCTCGCAAAGTGTGTTGTGTGTACGAAGAAGAGGATTGATCCTGAGCTGATTCAGGTTCGTGATTTGAGATATGCAATTGCGGCTAAGGGTAACTATCCCGTGGAAAATTTAAGAGTGATTCTTCGTGGAAAGGCACTGCAAGACGAAGAAGATGGAGATGATTTATACGTTACACTTAAGGACCAAGGTAACACATACTCTGCTGAAATGTTATAAGCATCAATGCTGCTAATCTTAGTTTCTTCAATGGGTCTTAAGATTATGCATAAGTCTTGGTTTCTTGTGTAGATTCCTTTATCGTTGCTGTAATACCAAAGGCACCAGCTGGAGCTGAGATCTTTGAGGACGATGATGATGATTTGGTAAAAAACAAATTATTTTTTATCTGATGTTTAACTCTTAGAAGATTGGTTTGTTTCTGTGGTTCTAATTGGTTATTTTGGCATTACAGAAGTTTAAGCTCCCACCGTCAGCAAGCCGGTGGAAGAGGAAGCTTTACTACTTTCTTCGTAACAAGTTGAAGTTTCCAGGTGAATTCATTAATCTTTCACACGCATCATCTGTAATTTCCAACAACGTATGAGACAGTGGTTCATTGATCCGTGTTGTGTGATTATTGTAGATATCATACTTATGGGAATTTTCTCTTTAAGTCTGAAGATGTGGGTTATTATCACCTTATGGTTTATCTTGGCGCCTATTGCCCATCGTTGGGACCTTGGCCCTATATTTGTAAGTCATCTTCAATCTCTGGATTCCTGAAAATGTCTCAAGTTTTCGCAATGCCATTGGATATGCGTTTATGAGACATCTTTTATACATAGATGTTATAGACATTATCACTTAAAACTCCCTAACAAGTCGTTTCTGTTTTACTTCCTTTGATTTTTTTTTTCTCTTTTACGGGTTTCAGTTACTAGGGACTGGCTTTTCAATCATCTTGCTCAATCTTGGTAAACGACAGCCTGGTGATGTTAGGTATGTACATTTTACCAACAAAAAACTTTGGCCTCTGTTGATCTGACTGACATAGCAACTCATTCGATTAGGACTGTGGTTTTTAATTTACTCTGGTTGATGTTTGCTGCAACTTTAGATACCAAATTCAAAAAATAAAGAAGAGGAAACTCTTGATTGTTTGAGGAAATAGAAACACTCATTTAATTAAAACGTTAATATCCTTGGTAACTTTGGAGAATGTGGGAAAAAAAGTCTGGAAGCATAAGATTCTGCTAGTATTCTTATTAGCTGGAAAGTGGAACCCTCATGAGTTTCAAGCTGTGAAAAATCTTCTCTTTTGATTGTTAGAACTGAATAAGTGCGGTCCTTTTTCATGCTTTCTTTCACAGTGCATATTCCATATTCAACGAGGACTTTAGAGAGCTTCCGGGTACATACAATGCAGATCGTATAGACCGGGACATACGAGCAGGCCAGATATGATGCAGAATTGCTTCAAAACCACTGCTTGGTAAGATTCACACAACAGACAAAAAGTATATATATACTTGTTATAATCCAATGTGCAACCAAGATCAGTGGTTTTTTTTTTGTCCTGTCCGATTGAGACACAAGACAGAGCATGACAGTACTTAGAGACCAAAATTCCCATTGATGTACATACGTGATCTAATATCTTTCTAATTCCATGATCGATGGTCCGTGTTGTACTCGAATATTAAGATTCCATTACGTATAAAAATAAATATAAGTGTGATGGTTGTAAGATTTTTTTTTGACATAGATTTATTGATGTAATGTGTGTGAAAATGAGTTGTAGGTCAACTTAGGTCCCATCAGAACTTGATTGAGCCTTTAGGTGTGAAATAAAATTCAGTAACCAAATCTGCTTTGCTAGTGGTAAGGTGGGTGGCTGACGCTTTATTAGCTACCTTTGACAATGTCCCTGCCTTATAAATAAGTTGAAGAGAAAATAAAATAAAACTAATTCAAAAGTCTATGGAACTATGAAAGTATGGAATGAAAGATTTCATATTAAAAAGGTATGTATGTATGCCCTTTAACTAACATATATACACCTCGTAAACGCGGTTCTGAATTTAAATTCAAATCACTTTTGCTTTTTACAAGATTTGGTGAAGAAAATAAAAAAAATACAAATAAAATAAGTTTCCTTTTGTGGAAGAAATTGTAGGAATTGCATTTTCCTGAATAAAAAAGAAATTATGCCTTTGAGAAAGGGTTGTCTTGGTTATGACTTGGGAGGGATTGTGATTAGTGGGTGGAAGTTGGGAGTGGCTTTTGCCAATTCTTGACGGCACGTAACGTTGTTTTAAGGAAATGTCAAACTTCACTCGGTTATCTACAAAATTTGTGTCTTTCAGTCTATGGTATATCTATATGCTTAATTCAAATGTGAGTTTTTTGTTTTGGGTATAATTTAGAAAATTAGAAGGCAAGTATGAGTACATAAATGTGATAATTATTTAGTATATATCAGAAGATGAACAACAAAAATCAGCAAATTTCCATGAAACAAAGGTAGATGTCTACTAAAAGAATGTATATAGGACAACATTTTAGCAAAAAAAAAAAAAAGAACTATGAGGAATCAATCACTTTGGAATAAGAGACACTCCAAGTAAGGATAAGTTTGAATATGTGTAACCTAAATCGAAACAAAAGCCTGAAATCTCTCTATTACTTCTACTTGAGAATTGAGATGAACAAAATAAAGATAAAAATTAATTAATAAAAGTAATTAGAAGGCAAAGGGGGGTCACTGGGGATGGGGGGACAAGACAAGAAGTCTTAGCGGGAAAGGGAATCCGACAAGTGATGACGTCGTTTCAGCAGAATGAGTCTACGAAGCGGGCCCCACTTGTCAATACCCCTCGTTGACTATTTTTTGATCTCCGCGGAGGACCCTCGACGCCTAATAATCCCCCTCTTAACTAATGTTTAGTGTCTAGATTTAACTGTATTGCTTTAACAATTACAAAATATATGAAGTAGACTATTCGAAACATTATAACCAATAATATTAATTTAAACCTTTTAATTGGCAATATGTATTGTTTTAAACGATTATATATAGATCGATTTATCTATCTATTAAATCAGACCAACTATTTTAAGACGAATTAAAAAAATATGCTCGGGAAAACAAATCAGTGAGATGAGTTGTGGTAATTGGTATGTTCGCGTAGATAAATGACAAAGCCTAGGATTCTATATATTAGCTGTAAATGTCTTTGGGTTTGTGATACTCTCTTAACTAATTTTTCTTCCATTCATTTTTTTTTTCTTTTTCTTTTTCAAACATACATAATTTTTAGTAACAAGTCTTATTTTCAACGTAATTTATTCTTAAAAAAAAATTATTTAAAATATATTTATCAACATGAAACAAAATTTGAATTGAAAACAACAACATCTAACGTATATCAGCTGACACAAAATTTAAACTACGTTTGATAATTTGATTGGTCTTTTTTTCTTTCACTTTTTTTACGTAACGTAAATCTTATTAACAACAAGTCATGTCTTCAATGTGACATGTTAATAATAACAAGGAGTTATTATAAAAATATATTTAAAGATGTACAACCCAATTTTGTATGCAAAAACAACATTATGTAACGTATGCGGACTTGAACAAAAAATAAATTGCATTTGACTACTGGATTCCCGTCTTTTCTTCTTTCACTTTTCTTTTTTTCATTCTCATTTTCAAGAAAAAACGTAAATCTAATAGCAACATGTCATGTCTTCAACGTGATTTGTTGATAATAATAATGATTATAAGATATACAACGATATATATTTAACACGTAAAAACAAAAAATGTATGCAAAACAACAATATGTAACGTATACTAACTGCACCAAAAAATGTGTTTGACTAGTGCTGTAAAAGTTTGCGTTTTGATATGCGTTACATTTGAATATACAGGTTGAAAATCAGTAACATTAATTTGGTTGAATTAGTAATTTTTTTTGGTGGAGTTGTATGTAATTTTTAAAACCGATCAATTAAATTTAAATAATCTAATTGATTTGATAGAATATTTTGTTAAAAATTTGAGAAAATATGTTAAAAATTTGATAGAATATTGTGTAATGTGAGTTATTAGCAAATAAAAGTTTGTAGTATGCTAATAATACATATGAGCGCAAACAAAGCAAATGAGAAAAAGCTTTCTTACAAGAATCCTTTAAACCCGAGCCTCGATTTTCCCTTTTTTTTTTTTTTTTTCCTTTTAATAATTTGTTTTTCTCTCAATGACCAAAAAAGAAAAGTGGTGAATGAAAAGAGATTCTTTTCTTCAGATTAATTTTTAGTTCAATTAATATAAAAACTGTATTATTATATTTAATCCAAGGTAATTATTAGTTTAGAACTTTACTAACGCGACGCCTCGTGGAGTAAAAAAGCTAATAACGTGAACACATCAAGTTATTCTAATTATAGCAAGTTGTTAACAAGAGTCAAATTATAAATTCCAATCTCTAATGATGTTTTCTTATAATGTAAACAAAACAGAGAAAGTAACTTATCTATGGTACTGTAAGAGTGCGGTTTGTATTTCTTACTATATAATATCACTAATTAAAACTTGAACAACTTGATTAATTTTCCTCAGATGGTAATTAACAGAGAATGTTGGTGGTAGTTACGTAAATATGAGCCAAGAAAAAGCGGAAAAAAGTGAAAAAAAAAAGAAAGAAGAAGAAGAGAGAGTCAATGTTTCTTCTGCTAATTCAAAAAAAAAAAAACCCACTAAAGTCGTCTACTCAGCTTTAAAAATAAAAACATATTTAAATCCCAAACAAAACGACAAAAAAGGTCTCTCGCTCTCTTCTTACTTCTTCTTTCTTCACACTCTTTTCAATTTTAGTATTTTCTTTCTTCTTTCACCTCCCAAATTCAAAAATCAAAGTTTTCTCTCCGAGAAATCATTTTTCTTTTTTAAAAAAAAAAGAAGAAGAAAGAAGAGAGTGTTGGAAACCAAATGTGATGGGAAGTGGATTCTCCTCCGTCTTTCCTTGCTTTAATCAAGCTCACCGTAACCGTCGCCGTCACTCATCTGCGGCGAATCCGATTCAGTCTCTCTGTGAGCCGTTGGATGAGACTTTAGGCCATTCCTACTGCTACGTCCCTTCTTCTAACCGCTTCATTTCTCCCTTTCCTTCCGATCGATTTGTTTCTCCTCCTGCTTCTTTCCGGTTATCTCCTTCTCATGAACCGGGTCGAATCCGAGCTTCCGGATCGTCCGAGCAGCTTCACACCGGCTTTAGAGCTATTTCTGGCGCTTCCGTTAGTGCTAACACCTCCAATTCCAAAACTGTCCTTCAGCTTGAAGACTTTTACGACGATGCCACTGAGAGCAGTTTCCGCGGCGGCGGCGGCGGAGTTAGGAGCAGTGTTGTGAATGCCATTGGCTTTGAAGGAACCTCCTCCTTTAGCGCTCTTCCGCTCCAACCTGGTCCGGATCGCTCGGGTCTCTTCATGTCGGGTCCGATCGAAAGAGGAGCCACTTCTGGCCCGTTAGAACCCCCTGCCGGAGAGATTTCGAGATCTAGTTCCGCCGGCGTGCATTTCTCAGCTCCGCTCGGTGGTGCGTACTCGAAGAAGAGACGGAAAAAGAAGAAGAAGAGCCTCTCGTGGCATCCGATTTTCGGCGGGGAGAGGAAGCAGCGGCCCTGGGTTCTTCCGGTGTCGAATTTCGTCGTCGGTGCGAAGAAGGAGAACATTGTGAGACCCGACGTCGGAGCTACAGCGACGTCTGCCGGAGAGAACGATTTACAGTGGGCATTGGGTAAAGCAGGAGAGGATAGAGTGCAGTTAGCTGTTTTTGAGAAGCAAGGATGGCTCTTCGCTGGAATTTACGACGGTTTCAATGGACCTGACGCTCCGGAGTTTTTGATGGCTAATCTCTACCGTGCTGTTCATAGTGAGTTACAGGGTTTGTTCTGGGAGTTGGAGGAAGAAGATGATAATCCAACAATACCTAATTCCTCCGATGTGACTAGGTTAGCTAGTGATACTCTAGAATTAGAGCAGCGAGGTCAAGTTGACGAAATGGCAAGTTCGAGCTGTCCCGCGACAGGGAAGGAAGACAACGAGATAGGAAAGAGATTAACGTCTTCATCAGAGGTGGTTGAAGTCAAGGAGAGGAAACGGCTTTGGGAGCTTCTTGCAGAGGCTGAAGCAGAAGATGCGTTAGATCTTTCAGGTTCTGATAGGTTTGCATTCTCGGTGGACGATGCTATCAGTGGAGGCAATGCTGTGTCTGTGGGAAGTAAGAGATGGATGCTTTTGTCAAAACTGAAGCAGGGTTTATCAAAACAGGGCATTTCTGGGAGGAAGCTGTTCCCATGGAAGACTGGTGTGGAGGAAAATGAAACGGAGGAGGTAGATAATGTTGATGTGGAAGATCGGGTTGATAAGAGAAGGAAGAGACGAAAGGCGGGTACGATAGATCATGAGTTGGTTTTAAAGGCAATGTCAAATGGTCTTGAAGCCACAGAGCAAGCATTCCTGGAAATGACTGATAAGGTTCTCGACACCAACCCTGAGCTTGCACTGATGGGTTCGTGCTTACTGGTTGCACTGATGAGGGATGATGATGTGTATATAATGAACATAGGGGATAGTAGGGCGCTTGTTGCACAATGTCAGGTAGAAGAAACAGGTGCGGGTGTGGAGACATCAGGAAGAGTAGAAGAGAGACGCATTGATTTAGAGAAAGAAAATGTAAACAAAGAGCCTTCGGTCGTGGATGGTAGCGATAGTACAGTGAACAATGAAGCTCCTTTGCCGCAAACGAAACTGGTTGCCCTGCAGCTAACAACAGATCACAGCACGAGCATCGAAGATGTAAGTCTGTCCTTGTGAAAGCTCTTTAATCATTTTTGCAGTTGCTTGGTCTTTTGCAATCTAGAAATATACTGTCTAGATTATAAGTAGTTTTGTGGTCCTCTTAACCATATTGTTGTTTCTGTAGGATACTTTGAGGTTCCTTTAGCTAATGTTGCTTTGATTGTTTTTCACAATGTTGTTGTTACATGATACTTTGGATTGATGAACTCAGGAAGTAACAAGAATAAAGAACGAGCACCCGGATGACAACCATTGCATAGTGAATGACAGAGTGAAAGGACGGCTTAAGGTGACTAGAGCGTTTGGAGCAGGGTTCTTAAAACAGGTTAGGCAAAATCTTCAGTTTGGAATACAAGAATATTTTCTTTTATCATTCCGTAATTCTCACAAAAGAAAGTGAAATTGCAGCCTAAATTGAACGATGCTTTACTGGAAATGTTTCGAAATGAGTACATTGGTACAGATCCATACATATCATGCACACCTTCCCTTCGTCACTACAGGCTAGCAGAGAATGATCAGTTTATGGTTCTCTCATCTGATGGACTGTACCAATACCTGAGTAATGAGGAAGTTGTTTCTCTTGCCAAGGAGAAGTTTCCAGATGGAGATCCTGCTCAGCATGTGATACAGGAACTTCTAGTCCGTGCAGCCAAGAAAGCTGGTAACAAATAGAAAACTTACCTTATTCTTTTTCCTTTGGTATAATCTTTTTAAGGTTTTGGAAGAGGATTACATATTTGGGGTATATGATTGTTTAAAAACAGGAATGAACTTTCATGAGCTTCTGGATATCCCGCAAGGAGATAGAAGAAAGTATCACGACGATTGCACTGTATTAGTGATAGCACTTGGAGGAAGCAGGATCTGGAAGTCATCAGGAAAGTACCTTTGAGACCATAAACCACACAATTTGAAGGCAACGGAAAAAAACTCTTCCCTATAAATTAGCCTCTTTTGACGTTTAATGCAGCAGAAGAAGATCAAAAGGGTGCCGCCAAGTTGTCTTGCTTTTTGTTTCCTTCCTCTATGTTTCTTAGCAAATTTTGGGTCAGATAGGTTGGGGTTTCTTTTATTTTAATAGGGTAGAGAGATTGGAATAGAGGTGATAACTAAAAACAAAAAAAAACCAAAAAAAAAAAATATATGTAATTAAGGGGGTGGAGACAAAAGGGAAATACATAGAACATTTTTCTCCTGGGAAAGAAATATATAAGAAAAGAAAAAAATCTTTTAACATATATTTATTTATTTACTTCTGTTTGCTTATTTCTTTGATCAAATGTTCATTTATAGTCTTTTAAGTTGAACCTTGCTCCAAAAATTCTTTTCTCTTCAATGTTGAACTTGAACATATTTTTAAACTGGACTGAATGATTGTGTTTTTTCTTAAATTATAACTTCTATATATTGTCGAATGTAAGTAATCGCTCGCAACTATATCAACCTTTTTTTTGTTAGCTATATGAAAACGTTTTTACATATATGAAAAGGGAATACAAAATTTTATATGTAAAACCGCCTACACCACAGCTCAGCCACTGGTTTTGGGCATTTTCTTGGATGTAGCTGCAAAAATAAACATAAGCAGTGAGATGATTTTGGGTTAGAGATCGAACTCTTTATCATTAGAAAACATAAGAGTCTTAGACCAAGCAAAAGTACAGAAAACAATACCATCTTCAACATCCTTAAGCTGATAATAGTGTGGAGCTATCTCAATCAACCACTCTGGCTTTAACTCCGTTACCTGGCAATTCCCCAAGGTACAAGAATAAACCCGACGAATGAATACAGAAGAAGAAGAAAAAGAATCAACCGAAAGAAATTCCCCCCCGTGTGGTTTAAAAAGAAGAGAAAAAGCAGATTTTTACCTGTCTCATGTACTCCTTAGAGGTAAGAACTAGTTGATGATACACAACCCATCTCGGCAATACCTAACAATATTATCGAAGTAAGGGTTCATATAATCAGTATCCAAGATTTTCAGAATTGATAGATTTGTAGTTAATCTTCTTTAGAAACTGAGAATTAAACTGAACCTGAGATAAGCCAGAGGCTGGATGTATGTGCACGGTTTGGGGATGCTTCGCTGTTCGGTATGATCCATTCTTCTGTAGCTTGGCGGTGTGTGGAAAGAAACCTGAGAATAAATATACAACTTCTATAGCAACAGCTCATATAGCTCTTGATGAATTAACAATTATGAAACTTACCAGCTACGATGGATTTTCTAATTGAATCCAACTCGTTCAAGTTTGAGCTAACTTCTATTTCAACTCTCTCAAGAAGACCCTTCAACTGATCACGGATATCTCTGGCTCTTTTCATACTCCGAACCTATATACATATGATACCAAACCAATGTTACAGATAAAACGAGATAATTAGAACTGAATATGATGATATATGTACTTATATACCTGAATATAGTTTTCATAGCACCACTGTGTTGAGTAGTTTGTTTCCTTCCACGAATTGTAAATCTTTCACAAAACAAAAAAGACATCAATAAACTGTGAGATTGCAAAGCAAAAGAGGAAGGGGGGGGA